TAAGATTAGTAAAATTGCCAAATTTGAAAGTGATTTGTTCAAAACTAATGAAGATACTACAGCTCCTCAAAGTCGCGAAATTTTACAGCCGTTTGTATGGTGGGGGCACAAACTTGCCCCCCACCATCAAAACGTCTGTAAAGTTTCGCAACTTTACGGAGAGCTAAATCTTCGCTCGCTTAAGACGAATCACTTTCAAATTTGGGTTTTTTCTTTCACGAATGTTAGGGGGCTCTTTCCAGTGGTGCGAAGGATTTTTCCTAATTTGTCCATGTCAAAAGTTGAAAATACCGTGTAAAGGTCTATTCGGATAGTAACTTGATTTCGGAACAACTGGTTTACGTTCATCTGTGGAAAGGTCTATACACCACCCTTCAAAAGAAATCAATCGTTATAAAAGCTTTTTCACAAAAAAGTATCAAGATTTGAATGGTCACTCTGGCTAAATTAGAAAGGGACCCTGTATTCGTCACTTTTCTAAAAAGGAGGAGGAAACTGGGGTTCTGGGATTAAAAATAAGGTCAGGGCAAAAAAGCTGACCGGCACGTCTTGAGGAACTATCCCAGAAACAATTGCGGACCGCTTTTCGGCTCCATTCCCGTTGTCATTTCTGAAGTGGCGGTGTCACAGTGATATGGGCATCCCCGCGTTTTGGGCATCCCCATTCTTAAAACCCCAGTGATATGGGCATCCACTGTAACCTTAACCCTAACCCTAACCCAAATCGCCAAGGTAATAAGAGAAGGGAATGTCCATTTTACTAGGGGTTTGGGAATGGGGATACCCATAACACTGTAACAGCGGCGTTGAAGGTTGACGCTCATAAGCAGCCTAGTCCCTAGCCGTTCTCTCCGGTATCCCGTAGGCTGTGCGATGTCTGGGAAAGAGAGGGCGACTCAAAACGTTAGGAACTGTTTAGGAGCAGCTTGGTAGGTATTTCTTGAAATTAGAAGGCTCATATTTTGAGTGGTCGCACTTAAGGATTCTAGCAACATCTTCGGATGTAAATTACATGTAAAAGCCCAACGAGCTTTCAAGAAAAGCTGAAAAAAGCTGAGTACATATAATTTGAGTGCACATTGTTTCAGCTGGCCAGCAGATCAACGATTCACAGAATGTATACACGACGAACCTCCCATCCCAAGAAATTGTTCCACGTCGAAATATTAATACTGGCAGATGATTACAAAATATCAACTAAAATATATTTTGCAATTTTATCATAATGAATTGCGTCGGGCAGCCTCCTTGCAAATATTCTTTTGTCGTGCATGTAGGATGTCAAGTCACGTATATAAAATGAAAACAAATAAAAAACAATAAAAATGCTCTTATTGCATTAACTGCGTATGTCAGATATAAGGTCATCTGTGAAAGTAATTGAGGAATATTTCTTAATATTTCACTTTTTTGTTATCCCTTTTGTTGATCCAAACTGAATCAATATTATCTGACATTATTTATACAATGTTCTAACTACAACATTCTCACTTTTCAAAAATAAGTTTTCATGGTCTTTTATCTAACGATAATTAAGCTTTGAAAAAATGCAAATAAAACCAGTACCCGGTTGTCGATATCAATGGTTGTTCTCCACCGTTGAGGCAAAAAATATACTCTCATTCTTTGTAACTTTATTTTTGTCGATCTTTTGGAAAAAGTATGACCGAAATCCTATTTCTTACCTTGGTGGGAGCGGTTGCCAATTGCAGCTGTCTTGTCTGCATTAATTACAAGGTGTACTTCGCAATAAACTTCAACTGACATTTTCATAAATAAAGTTTTTCTTGAATTTCTTGATCTCGTAGTGGAAAAGGGAGATCAATTGTCATAAGCTTTAATGCAAATGTGCTTGAACATATCAAGGCTTGAAACCTATAATTTATTCACGTTATTAACATTAAGTGGTTTGCAATGAGTATATCTGTATGTGTATACAACAAGGTCCGAATTCTTGAAGACCTTGAACCTGAATGTATTTTAGAGAGTGCTCAACTCTTAGAGGAGCATTGACAATTATAATAAACTGGTTCAAGACTTCTGAGATAAATACGGTTGCCATGAGATATAAAAACAGCGTTATTTTATCATATAAATCATGTGATTGCTATTTATAATTTGTAATGTAATTGGTGCTTATATTTTCTAACGATAGTGGTATGTTATATATGGACCTTGTAGTATAAATTATGAATAGCAATTTTTTTCGAATACTTAAGGTACAAAAATGATAAAATTATTCATGCAGGTTATTCCAATTATTCTATCACTTTTGACGAGTTTTGATGACTCATCGTTCGTCACGGTTACGTGATGTCTTACGTCATCAGTCTAACTAATTCACAATGACCGCAATCGTCATCCATAACTTGTGTGCGTGGTTCCTGTAGCGCTTTCGCCCCCGTTCGCAAATAATTTCCGTCCGTGCTATCGGTGTAGTTTTATGAACCTGGTTCAAAAGAGGCACCATTTTCGAGAACCATGTTTCAGTTAGCAGAAAGTCTCAAAGCGAACGATCGAACGAACATGCCACAGGGCGGTCATGAATGTTGGTTCTTGCTCTCATTCCACTTGGGACGTAAAGCAATCTAGCCGTTATTGTTGACCAGGACTGCGGAAACTATAGTCCCTCATCTGTATCAATGAACACTTGAGCCCAAATTTTTAAAGTTTGTTGTTTTGAATCCATGTTAACTTTCCCATTCTAAAAGCATTTTTATACCTCAATCAGTTTATTACAACTGATAAACTTTTAGTTGTTTCTTTTCATTGTTATTTTACCAGACTACTTTTTTAATTTTGTGTAATTTTTTTGCTTCTCTATTTCAAGACATTTTTGTACGATACAAAGTACATGACTCAAGCTAAGTATCCTAAAAGAGCTTCGACTTAAAAAATGCAATGCTCTAATAATCACCTACCCCCACGCAAAGTTCTACGTATGAGCAGGCACGTACATCTAACCAACAACAACAACAACAACAATTTTATTGAAATTAAATATATAACTACTTACATTACTTTCCCACACGCAAATAGCTTAATATGAACTAATCGAGGCAGGAGGAACTAAGGACATATTTACAAATTAATCAGGAGCTCATGGGCTCCTGGTTAAAGAGTAAAAAAGGCTGTCTGTTATTTATGAAAGTGATGACGATGATGATGATGATGATGATGATGATGATGATGATGATGATGATGATGATGACGATGATGATGATGACGATGATGACGATGATGATGATGATGATGATGATGATGATGATGATGATGACGATGATGATGACGATGATGATGACGATGACGATGATGATGATGATGATGATGATGATGATGATGATGATGATGATGATAATGATGATGATGATGATGATGATAACATTCATTGTACTTTTAGACTCTTGAGTGCACACTCTTAAGGGTCTGACGTCGCGTTTGATTTAGACTTGAACATTGCATGCTTCTTCAGACCGCCCGCAGTTCCAGGTGATTACGATAAGAAAACCGCCTCTGGGCGTCGCGACAGTAATTAAGAATTTACAAAGTAAATTGCTCGTTCGATAAAGGGATAAGTTCACGAAACCTTCCGAGCCTGAATTCAATATAGACCATGTCTTTCGTACTCGAAATAGTCTAATTAACAAAAACATGATCATGGATTTCGGACCCCGGCACACGTTCTTTTATAGCGGTATCTCTGAGTAGCATGTGAGATATTTTCTTGACATATTGACTCAGAGGTATCAAAAATACAGCTTGCCGGGTATCGTGCAGGAAAAAAATAACCGTGAAATCAGTCAACAATGCCTCCCCACTAGGTTAGCTGGGGCAGTTTTGTTTTTGCCGCGTATTGTTTTTATCAAACAATCCCAAATAAAACAGAGATAACGTTATTTATCTCTTCCGACGATTCATCTTTTCAATATCAGTTAAACAATCAATTTTTAATCTTTATATACAATCGAGGTTAGGTAGATTGGCTAACGGAAAGATATTCAAAAGCTGATATTTCGAACAGTTGACAAAAAGAGGCACTTAAAGTGACAAAAACTTGCACTTTGCGAACAAATTGCATCACACGAAGTATTCATGAGCTTAACGTCAGATTCTTCTAGGTGCGAGAGGCCAATTTATCGGGTCAACCCAGAAACGTCACTGAAACGTTGATCGGAATTCCAAGTAAGAGGACAAAAATCAATAGAAGAATATGAAAGTAAATATATATTCATAACTAGTACTCAACTCGTTACTAAGCAATGTCTGCCATAAAAATCTGCAGCGCACTAATATTGCATGAGCACTATAGCATGGTTATGTTGAAAGGCCATTCTGTTATTTCAGACGAAAAGCTTCCATGGCGCCTATAGAACCTCTGCACAAAATGGCTTTGAGAAAGTTGTTGTGCAGTAGACTAGACAGTCCAACTTGCGCCAAGTCAAATATTTATCATTCTTCTTTTCAAACGCAAGCGTCATTCAGCACAAAAGACTGTTCAACGAAGTACAAAACAAGAAAATTTAGTAATAAAAAGACTTCGCAATGCCAGAGTTGATATGTGTCATTGCAACGCTGTGCTTGTATATACTCATTCCACATACGCCATAATCTTTCAATTAAGTGATCATTTGCTTTGTTTTTTGTAGTCGCTTATCGGTCGCTAGTGAATCCAAAGTCCATTCCACGCTTTCCTTTTTCGTCAGCACAGAAGTAAAAAAGAAGAGCAAAGAAACAAAGGAATGAAGGGTTAATCTGAGTAAACAAAAGCTCAACATTTACTTTTACTGTCCTAATTTAGTTAATTTTAGAGAACGTCAAATAGATCAATCAAAGCCGGTAAATATCAACCAATCAGCTGTCGCCTTATATTGTCATGCTCGAATACATATCGACTACTTTTATATAAGGGCCATGTGCCAGGTTATCAAAGCTCGAGGGACCTTTAGATGCAAACGCGTGGCGTAGCTTTGGATTGAAAACTGTCTTACACCCAAACTAAAATGTTCTTCCTAAAAATTGTCGTTTTCTTGTACTTGAAACTGTCGCTTTACGAGTTTGCTTTTTCACACGAAAGCCGAAATCACGAGCATTACTCGTTCAAAGAATTGCAGGACGCTGTTAACGGCGATTCCTTGAAGTCAGATGATCTACAGAGGCTATTTGACAAGCTGCATTTCTTGAACTGCTCTGCAAACAAATCGAGTCCGGATTACCGAAGGGTAAGATGAGTGTTGTTGGCACAAATAGCCCAAAAGATGAAAATTTTACACTAAAACTTGGAAGTCTTAAACTTAACTTGGTAAGGTAGAAGTTTCTAGCGAAAAATATGTATCTCTGAAAACTAATTACAACGATTTTTAATAAGAAAGAGTAAAATGAAAAAGTAAAACTGAGCTCAAATTACGAGGAGATAACTGGGTTAAGAACGATAGATCTTCGAAGCTGTGTGTCTTTCGTCTTCGATCACGCGGTTTTTCATTACATGCATTCACTTTCATGCTTTGTTCTTTTAGTGTTTCAGCCCTATAGAATTGCTCAATATTTCTGGATCCTCACTGTCAAAACCATTAAATTCCTCGGAGTTTGTAGAGGTCAGCCCTTCGATTGTTTACTGCCTTTTGCCAACGCTTGAAAAGAATTCTGGTCAACAACGTTGCGATTCTCCCAGGAACCACAGCGAACTTTTCGATTCGTTTACGAGGAAGTTTGGTCATGGGGAACACGGGATCACTCAGGAAGCTCTCGATGGAATTCTCGACGCGATAAACAAGACGATCGGGGACTTTTTAACTGAAAAGAAGGTGGGTAAAATTTAGGGATAAAAAGCGGTATAAGTGGTTTTAAAAAAGGGTAGTTTCGGCACGATCTTTGCTCCCTCTTGAAAACTTTGTTTCAAGAAGCTTATAAAAAGCTAAAGCTTATATTACCCAGCGAGCAAAGGATTCTTTCTGGCATGGCTGTTAACATTTACGCAGCCGCGACTGACAAGCTACGCGAAAGTCTTAGTAAATATTAAAAGCCCTGTCAGAAATTAGAAACCTCTGATCGCGGGGTATCAATTATACGCTCATTATAAAGCTAAATGTTAGCGGAAAGTTTATTCATACAAAATGTAGCTGATGTACTGTGCAGCCTTAAAACGTTTTTTGCATAGCCTTGTACATTTTCGATTCGTCGCATATTCTGTCCGTCTATGACGAAGTAAGTTATGGAAGTAACGGATTATTAAGTTTGTCAAGAAATGTGGAGGCTGAAGAACTTTTGTTGAAAATCAAGAATATCTCTCTTATGATTTGTTGTAACATGTTAGCTTTCATTGGCAACACTTGTCAGCCGTAAGCTTATATTTTACTTGATAGTTGTATGTTTACAGCACACCTCCAGTGCTTTGTTAATATTAATTGTTCGGGAGGTAATTACTAAGTAAATGCCGGCAACAAGATCAGCCCACAGCCTCATCTTGACTTGGTCAGCAGCACTTTATTAACTGTATGGCTAGGCTTTACTCTATCGGTTCACATTCTTGAGATCCTGGTGTTCTTCCAACTGATATGCATGGTATGCGAATGGTCAGCTGTTTTCACAATGCTGCAAGGGCAGGGTTTTTCACTGTACTAACGCTGCGTATCGCTGCATGCATAGAAGTTCAAGAAAGAAGTCGTGCAAGAAGAAAAGTGAGTGTTCGGAGAGAGTGAGTTGAGCTTAATACATGCCACAATTGATTTCAGTTTAAGCTTATATAAATCCTCAAAGTTAAACACTTGTTCTCCATTTCTCTCATTGTGTTCCCGATTGATGATGTTGAGTATTCAAAGCATGTTAATCAATTTGCCTAAGGGTATGGCATAGCTTGTTTGCCAGCGTGGTATTTATTTACCCAGGAAACTGAAAGTAGAGCCTGATCTCACCTTAGTGCAGCAGACGTTTTCGGTTAGATACAAGTGTTACCAAAGTCTAGAAATCAAAGTTTATTCAGGTTAATTTGCTACAGTGCATGGTTTTTATAATTATTTTTCTACGTTTCCAAGCATGTTATGTCGCTTATCACCTGAGCGAAAGCTTCTAAGCTTTAAACTCAAGTGGTAATTTAAGCTGTTTCATAGTATCGCATATTAACGGCCTATGGCCATTGGACACAGATTGAATATTTGATTGAATTTCAATAAGATTTCATGCAGTCATGACCTTAAACATGCACTACTAGTGTCATGCATTGCTGTTTCAATGCACATGTACATGTATCTTTGCCGGTAAATCTCCACGCTCCTCACCATTTGCAGGCTAATTGTATCCAGGCAAATGTGAATAAAATCTTGAATTAAATATGTGTTTAATGTGTTGTTCAATCCAGTCTAGTTTTCGTGATCAGGTGATATCCTTTTGTTGACACTGGACATAAGGGCGTACACAATTATGAAAGCGGCTTTCATCAATCACATCTTCACCCGCATTTCCTAGCCAACGGCTACTGCTAGTTGATATTAATTTAGTAGATAGGGTAGTGGTAGTCAGTTTGTTTTTGTGTGGACACTTCACTCAGAGTGCATTCAATGTTTTTTTCTAAATTCAATCATACATGTATGTGCAACATATTTACCTAAAAGATTAAATATATTGGACCTATGATCAAACAGTAACTTTTGAAGTGAGGCTGGACAAATTTCGTGGCTTGAAATTTTATGGCTAATGTGTGCATGAATTTTCCTTTACTTTCTTAGCAGATCTTTTTTGCTATTTCATTGTTCATAATTTTTCTTTCACAAAATTAATGTGGTGCAGGACTTTTGTTTTGCTAATTGCCCAAATTAAAATTAATTGCCCAACACTAATTGTCTCATTCCATGAACTATTAACCACATTCCTAAAGAACTTATTAATAGACCTAAATGCTGATCTACATTTTTAGTCAAACCTCATGGACAGCAAAGGGACAGAGCCAAGTGTGTCTTCATTACAGATTTGTCTAAGTTTAAGAAAACTGAATATCTTGTTTCAAAGATTGTATGTACATGTAGGCCTTAAGATAGCGAGAGTGGAGCTACAAGTTTGTAAAAAAAACGGAAGAAAACTAAAAACTTAGATATTATTTCAACAGGTACTCATTTTTCTTAACTGCCGGGCCAGGTCTGACAAATAAAGTTTGGTAAATAAACACAGGAAGCATCGACGGCAGGAACTACCCACTTAAAAGCTTATGTCACTGATCTTTTACAGTTTTTAAAAGCATACCACATTCAACTTCAACCCATGCCACCAAGGAATTAGTGAAATTGTTGAACATTAGGTAACCTTTAAAAACATGTATAACTAAAATGTTTTGAAATGATCATCTAGTTAAAATTTGCCTTTGGTACAATGCGGCTGAACAAAATGGTCACGCAGTGACAAGCTAAAAGAGAACACACAGTATTACTGCTGATTACAGTGTATGAGGTACCGGTAGACTGCAACATTTTCCGTGGGATGCCTGTGGCACTCCCACGGTAAAAATCCAGTTCGGTTGTACCCAAAATTGCAAAGCCAGCCAATAGGATTGCCTAAAATCTTTATCGATTATCTCTTCTTCCAAGCCGACCAATCAGATTGTACAAAATCTGTATCGATTTTTAATCGATTTGCTTGTTATGAAGAACGTTGAATTGCCAAATTTGTCGCGCTTGAGTTTTCCCACTCGTGCTTTAGTATGGCTTGTTAACCAGCGAAATCCTTCGGGATACTGGCAAGTCACGAAAGGCGACCTAAGCAAAAATTAATTATTTCTTTCCTCCATGATTCTTTTTTGTTTAGGTCTAGCTTTTTCATAAGGTTTTAGTTGCGTCTGGTTGCGGGCTGTGACTCCAATAGATTTCTCTATTCGGAGTTCACCAGTTTTTGCCGAGCACAGCTAGAGTTCAGTTTTTTTCTTTTCTTATCGAAAACACCTTGATGATGGGAGGTTAAATCGCGTAAATTTTAACTCGTACCCTTGATGATTGAGGTGAAATATTGTCCTCGTCGATCAATGACTCGCTTTCGGCATGGATTGAACTTCTGGATGGGACACGGATCAGGACCTTAGTAAACTTATTATACCTTGGAAACACATTGCAATTAATTTTTAATTGTATCAAGAGCATCTTGGAATATTAAACTTTCATCTTGGATTAAAACATTGGAACTTTATCGAACTTTGTAACCCAGGGTTTGACCCTGGATAAAGCAAGCGGATGTTTTGTTTTGTTTTCTTCCATTAACCTAAAACTACAATGTTTATTTCTCTTTGAAAAAGTTACGTGTGGCTACCATGGTTGTTACTAAGATTTCAAGTTGCTGGGTAAATACAACAAGTAGGCAAGGAATCAAATGGCTAGGGATTTCTTTTGGTTCTATGTTTCTTCTATTTTCCAATAAAAGTAGCCGGGGAAAATCCCCGGCCCCCGGCTCTTAATGACAACCCTGGGCTACTTACTACCAAGATATGACGTATCTTTATACATATAGTTCCTGTTCAGGTTAATCAGAGAGCATTATGTGCATGTTCTCTATTACTTGTTTCTGTTAACATTCCAATGTAAGTTACACGGGTAAACCTTGTTTTGATGCAAAATAACTTCTTTTTCTTATCCAAATCGTGCTATGAAAATAACCACATAGCGATAGATCAAAACAAGATCAACTCCATCCTTGCGACCACTGACAACTATAAATTTAGCTTGAGTAGCAGGTGTCAAAAGCGGTAGGGAATAGGAGGAAGCAAAAAGGGGATGTGGATTGGGGAGAAATGGTAGCCTGTCACACAGGCTACCAAAAATTCAGTTATAAGCACATTAAACCAACCCATACAGGTAACCTACTCATCGATGCTCATAACATGACACATCTTTCCGGTTTCCCTAATTTTTCCTAATTCAGATAGAACGCCATTATGCTTTCATAGACCAATGCATCCCACGGAAACGACTTTAGGCGTCTTGTTTGTTCTAAGTTACAAAAAGATTCTTTCATAGATTAATACAGTTGATTTGAATTTGAAAAACGTGATCTTCAAAATAATTTCTGTTCCGATGTGTCAGTTCTTAGTGAAATTTATTGGAATGTGAAGAGACTGTAATATTGATTAGCATCTTACGATTTCTTTTAGATTTTTCATTAAAAGAATTTTGAAAAAAATACAGGCAGCTTGCATGTAAAAGTAATGGAGGAAAATTTCCTACTATAAATACACACATCTTGCAGAGAAAAGCTGATTAGTTCTAGTAGCAAATAGAGTAGACAAGTGTGACTACTTAAAGTGGGGCACTTAGAAAAAGATTTTCCAATCACTATGATTTCTGAAAACAAAAGAGTCCCAAGTTCTTTTGCAAATGGACCGATAACATTCATCAATTTGAGGGCTGTTACCTGAGAGGTCAGGTAAGTTCAAATGGTTTTAAAGTTGTCAACGGTTGCATAGTTGAACCTTGAATTTTATTGTCCGTTTGTAAAACAACTTGAGAATCTTTTGTTTGCAAAAAACAATGTGGTGGGATAGTCTTCTTCCAAGTGCCCCAGTTCCAGTAGTCACACTGTCAAGTTTTCAGAGGTTGCATAGTTGAATTTTGACTTCTATTGGCCTGTTTGCAAAATAACTTGAGAATCCTTTGTTTTCAGATATTGTTGTGATTGGACAATCTTCTTTTAAGTGCACTGGTTTGAGTAGTCACACTGTAACTGTTTCATTGTAGAAACCACAGAACAAACAGGGCATTCTCTGCACCCTATAATTTTTTAAAAATACTATTTTAACATTGCTGTCAGTAGCAATGGGGTTAGGTATTAGTGCCCACCGAATCACAAGTCTGAATCTTGACAATCAGTAAACAGGGGTTTCAATAAAAATTGAAGTAGCCAGCAGGTTTGAATAGAGTGGCTGACTGTGTCAACAAGGAGCCAGCTAGTGTAGTCCACGTTTTCAAGGGGTCTCTGGGGGCGACTTTTCCATTGAAGAAGATTTGAGTTTAAGTCAAATTTTGCTTTATGCACTAAACAATTAACTCCTACAAGCAAATTATAAACAAATGATAATTTCTAAGTTACGTACATTTTTGCGTAAACAAAGTCTAGTTTTGTCCATGACATTATTTGAACTAGTTGCTTCTTCTTTGGGGAGAAAAAGTAGCCAACTTCTCTGAGCAATGTACATGTAGCTGATGCTTTTCACTGGTTGTCAGTGCTTATTGAAACTCCCTGAGCAAACTACTGAATTACCAAGTCTAAATACTATCAAAGATCTAAAATTCTTCTTTACATTACCAGTGTTTTTCAGCAGAAGACATTTTTAAAGAGATAGAAGAGGGAGAGGAGGAAGGCCATCATCATGAGGAAGGTGAACACAGCCATGAAGAAGAAAAGGTTCTTAATCAACATGATTTTGAGAAGGCCTGTGCCAGCATTATCCTGCACTTAGTTAAAGGATACTGTATCAAGGAAGGTCATGGACGCAACGAGACCAAACCTAATCTACCATCAAAAGAATTTTTCATCGAAGAACTTTTCAATCACAAAAAGTACCTTTCCGAAGAGGACTTAGAAAGCATTGCTCAAAGTCTTGGTATTGGAAAGAAATCTTCTGAGTCGACAGCCTTGTCTTCAAGTGAGAGCCATGATGGCCATAACCACAGACGCCGAAGGTCTGCTGCATCTGCTGTGTCATCACAGGAGGAATCAGCTGCATCTCACAACCTTCATCGCCGCGCAGTTGATTCTCATACTCACAGTAGTGGTGGAAGTGGCAATGTAGGTGCTACTCAAACATCATGCCTCCTCCTTACCCCTTTACTAGCCTATTTACATTTAGGGTGCTTTCCATTGGTATGATCCGGACCAGGATCAGCGATCTGAGATCAGTCAGATCATTGCCCATCAAAGGAACCCACAAATCCACCCTGGAAAAGGATTCATTGGTTCTTTTGATCTTGATCCAGATCATTCCAAAACAATCTTATTATACTTTATGAATCCTTTTAAACTTTTAAGGTACCTTTATAAATTGAGTTTAATAAAGCTTGATTATCGTCCTTGAGACAAAGTCCCCCTCCCCCTCATTGTTTTTGAGTCACTCAAATCTTTCAGCTGGGTTCCATGTGTTGTACAGTAAAGGAGCTTCCATCTTTTCTGAGGTAATTTGTATACTTGGCTGAGTAACCTTACTATATTCTCATTAACCTTAAAAACCAGCAAGAATAACCAGTTCTTTGGAAAGAAGTTCAAATTAGTACACTGTAATTTTATGACCTTAGATAACTTCTTGCATTGTGTCTATTGTACTGTATCTATATATAGCAGCCTTTTCAACTTAAACTGTACGTTAGGTTTACGCAATATAATATGCATTCCTGAGCAATGATCAGTTACTTTTTTACAAAGAATATTCATGTTTTTTAGTGTTACTCAGTTGATCAGATGCTGACAGTTTTTGACATTGATCACTCCATTGGAGCAGATGATTATGACTTCAAACAGCTTTGCCCTGCTTTTATTCAACAAGCCAAGAGCGGAGCTTGCAAGCAACAGTCAAACCAAACAAAAACACATCCAGAAAAGCATATGGGAAAAAGTAAGTGTGCATGTTAGAGGTCAAAATTTCATTCAGGAATCAACCTAGGTTAAAAAATATAAACCTAGCCCTAATTATTCATGAATTAACCTGAATATAATTTTTGTCCTGTTACATACGCAGAGGAATATCACCTTTCAGTGTACTGTAATACATGTATTGAAGGGCATTTAAAAGTGGTTGCTGTTAAATGCGAGTGTTGTTTTTGCCTGAAAATCCAAATTGATAATTTATTATTATTTTCTGGGAATAAGTGCTTTTATGACTCCTACATATACTTGAATTATTATTATTAATTATTATCATAAAATAATGCGATATTGCAAGTTGGATATTGCATGTCAGGTTGTGGAAATTGCAGTCTTCTACATGTAAGTGAAAGAAACTGTATTAACATTGACCAACTTTGGTGTTCTGACTTGTCTTCTATTGAGATTTTGTTCTTTGTTTAATAGTACTTATCCAACAAAAATCAATAGAGAAATAATAGTTGTAGTCTGTGGACAAAATTCTTTCTGGTATGGCCTTTCAACTGATACCTCATTGCAGTGAAACCTCGATTTAACTAAGTGCCAAGAGACTGGGAAAATTTGTTCGTTACAGGTGTATATCAAGGGTTCGTTATATCGACCACCTCAATTTAACAAATTTTTGAAAAAACAACCAAAATGTTTGTTATATTTGGGTATAGTTAATAACTGAGTTACAAAACCCAGGGTTCCTGGATCTGAACAATTACTGTAATAACGTTTGCTCTTTATCACCTATTTTTCCGTACTTAGCTGTACATTTATTTATAGTTAAGGCACTAGAACTCAAGAACAGGCAAACAAACTGCTCAAAACTACTGTACACATAAAATTTATCCTTGTTAGTCTGTTTGGCTTTCATCTTTTATCACATGCTGACATTTTTTCATTATGTTGGGGTATATTTTACGATTGCGCTTCTGGATTGTGTTTGCTGTAATGAGGATTTCGTAAATCGAGGTTCGTTAAATCGAGGTTCTGTTCCATGCATTACATTTTACTGTAATTTTGGCCGGGCTGAAGAAAATTGTTCTTAATACCAAGGACTTCATCATATAGAGGTTTGTTAAATTGAAGTTCCACTGCATCTGTATTAATTTTTCTAGGGAACCTTTTTCTTTGTGATATTTTGTTTAACCCATTCGCTCCTGGAGATTTTGCCGAAAAAGGCGTTTTGAAGCTAGTCAAGTGGTTTTCAGGTCACTGTCGTGCTATAAAGAGCTAAAACTTACCACAAACCGGTTTACAGGTCGTACACTTGGCGGCCTTCTGATCCAGATGCAAAATATCAGCTTGCGAAGTTCGGACATGTGCAGAAAGCCAAATTTCAAGTTTTGGGGTTTAAAAGTGACACAGCAGTCTTGACTTTTACTTTTTGCTTTCTCTCCTCCGTTCTTTTTTCACTTTTCTTGCCTCATTTTTTTTTCTCTTGCTGGGCATTTAGTAGGCTTCATTTTGGTGGGAAGAGTATTTAGGAAGGCTTTCAGGATCTTAGGATTAGGTGAAAAGAATGGTAGGTGAGCAATGGAACAAGATTTTCACGGAGATTTTCAGGTCAATGTCACGTGGTTTTTTGCTTCTTTCTCCGGTGTCCTTGACTAAATTGTGCTCATTCTGGTATGGTTTGAAAGATCTCTCCACTCTGCACAAGTTAGCAAAGAAAGTTGTCCTTGACCGTTAAAACTGATGACGTCACAAAGGGTAGAAAGGACCTGGATCTGCACGGGCGGTTACGGGCGGTTCAGGGGCGAATGGGTTAAAATATAATAGGAATGTCTTCATTAATTTTGAGGGTTCTGATAGCAAGCGTTGTACTTGTTTAACTTGTTGATCTTTTTGGTTTTGTTTCTTATCTCCAGTCTGGGGTTATGGCTTTGCCGCTGTGACTATCATCAGCCTTACATCTTTAATGGGCGTGGCTACTATTCCATTTCTGGGAAAGAAAATGTACAAGAAGATCTTGGCGATGTTGGTGGCTCTTGCTGTCGGAACTCTTGCTGGAGACAGCTTACTTCATCTCTTACCTCATGTAAGTTGCCCATAGACCCTGTTTAAAAAGGTCCAGACAAATTTATTTTTCTGCAACCTGTTTACACAGAAATGTGCACATTCCATTACAGACTACTTTAATAATTGTTCACAGGAGTCAGACTTATGTAAGCCACACAACTAGACTCCAAGCTTTTAGCACTAAAAGTTTGAAAAAATTTGCACCTTCAGGTTACAGGAGTCAGCATAAAAGTGGAACCATACTAGTCAAAACTTTTTACCTACGTGTCCTTCTAAATAGATCAAAACCTTGCACACTTTGCAATTCAAGAACTTGCGTGGTTTCATATGTCCCATGTAAACGAAAGGTAGATCTATACAAGTTTTTGGTCCTACAAAAAGTGTAAACTTAAGCTATAGACCACACTTTCTATGGGTTTACTGGCGTGATAACCCACGGGGGATGTTGGGAGAACACAAGAAAAGCTTGTAAATCACGAGCCAAAGGAGATTGATTTTCAAGCTTTTCGAGCGTTCTCCCAACATCCTAAGTGGGTTATCACGCCAGTAAACCCATAGAAAGTGTGGTCTATTGCTTTTAAAAAATAACTGAAATTTTTCTGTGAGTATACCGCCACAATAAACCATAGGTTTTTAACCAATCAGAACGTAGGTACTATTTTAGTTATTTTATAAAAGGTCTTATTGTTATTACCCAGCTGTTCTGAAAACCTCTGAAGGTTTAAGTGCTTCACTTCTAGTTAAAGTTAGCTTTTTGCTAAAATCCTGAAAGTGGTTTCTTGTAATTATAAAATAATTATTAATTTAAATAAATCATTTTGCTACCAGGCATTTGGTCTCCACCAACATGAAGATACAGCTGAAGGTGACAGCCATGCCGATCATTCAGAAGAGAAGGGATTCATTTGGAAAGCCTTGGTGGTACTGCTTTCCATTTATGGATTTTTCTTGTTTGAAACTTTGATGCATCTGTGTTTGAAGAGCAAAGTTGGAGATCATGGTGGCCACAGCCACATTGATGTTGAGGTCAGTAATAATACAATATTTATTATGCTGTTTCAGAACTGAGAACTCCTAAAGTAAAATGAGCGTAAGTTTTGAGATATCTTTTTTAATCAGTGTAAACAAAAAGAATATTTTTTTCCTCAGGTACATATACATGTAAGTGCTGCAAACAAAGAGGTTTCGTTTGAATGATCATGCCATTGGATCAAACAGTCTTGAACTCAAAATCCAAACCAGCAACAACAATATAACAATGTATATGATACTTGTGTAATAAACAGTACCACGGCAAAGTGGCTTTCATTAATTTTGAACCATCACTGACACTTAAGTTATTTCATCCTTAGGCTTTAAAGTTAACAATTAATTTTTAAAAATACTGAATATGCTCTTGCAAACAGCAAACAAGTCCAACACTGGGATTATTACATGTTTCTGGGAAACTGCCCACCTACCCCTCCCCTAAGCCAACATTTTGCCCAAAGTGAGAAGTAAGTGTTCATGTTGGCTTAGGGGAGGGGTAGGTGGGCAGTTTCGCAGAGACGTATAATGATCCCAACATTAATTTGTTTCTGTTATAAATCATTAGCCATTCTTTGGAAACCAAGATTACAGGCCATGCGTTCTAATCTAATTATATACAATGTGCACGTACAGTCTTACTGTGCCATTTCCCAACTTCTGAAACAAGAAGGAAACTTGGTGAGCTTAGCTTTCATAAAGACTTCTGGGATATCGTTACTGGGGACACACTATTGAGCTATTGGCCAAGTTGTTTCCCTGTCCCCAGTAACAGTTCCAGAAGTCTTTGCAGTAGTTAACTGGGCCTGGTTTGCCTCTCATTTCTAAACTGGAAAATGGCCATTTACTGCTCACAGATAACTTGCTGGCCTGATTGTTTGATTATTTTCAAATATCACACGACTATATATGCAAAAGGAATTTAGAGAGTGATGCTTTCCTTTTGGCTTAATGTAAGCTCCATTTTTTGTACAGCTTCCTGGACCTTCAAGTCGGCACATGAGCTTTAAAAAGCAAAGGAGATGTTCCAGGCTGGAGCATCATGAAGGAGATCATCCGCTTGGTAAAAGTGATGAAAAGCCTCCCATGGAAAATGGTGACATTGTTTTAACAAACATGGTGAGTGTGACGATATTGCATTGTTTTAGCATCCAACCAGATTTTAGCATTTACACGTGCAAACTCAGGTTTACTTTTGTTACAGTTTAATGTCATGGCCGCTCATGAGCTCACTATGTTCTTATTTTTATACAAGTTGATGTTTAAGAACGTGAGCGAATTCTTTACATGGCATCAGAAGTTGGATACAAAAAGCGTAGAAGTGTAGAATACAAATCAAATGTTGATTTATTTGGAGGATATATCAATAGTAAATTTAACAATATATTGATCCACCAACCATGATCAAGGTTCATGATACACCAATCACTAACAACCACGATGAACAAAATGACAGTCCCACTCAGTAAATCAATACTGTTGATTAATGAAACCCTGTACTTGATCAAAATTTCTCAAACTCATTAATAATTCATAAAGAAAATTCAAAGGAAATTAATGTTTAATGAGTGTTTGGATATCAGATGAAAAACTGCTCATTTTTGCATCCTTAATTTCTCCTTCAAAAATGATTTTGTTTGACAAACATTACTGTCTGATGAAACACCTCGAAGTTCATCAAAAATACTCCGCTGCGCGTCGTATTTTCAACTCTCTTCTCGGTGTTTCATCTGGTGATGAAACACTGCATCTCATGTTTGATATATTACGTCACGATCAATGTCTAAGTGACTATTGTGAGACAAACAATAAGTAAAAACCCTTTATAATAAAAGTAATCATAAAGGATGTACCTCTGTACTTCAGAAATAACACTTTTATAAGGTGTTGTATATTATCTTTTTTACATGTATATGTGGTGTCATACTCCAGTGCTTCTGCAGGTGAAAATTAAGGATCATTAAAAAAGTCCAATTGCCAATTTGTTGTAAACTTTGGTTCCAGTACCACAGGGGAGTCAGAAAAATATTAATCTTCCAGTTGAACGGATTAATAATACTGTTATGATTTTTTTTGGTCAATAATCTGGTCCATAATCTTGAAATTTATGATCCTGAATTAAATATAAAAAAGTTTGATGCAGTGACATAAAGAGTCTGACATTCTAAATTGACTGAATGTTTTGACTTAATAAAGTACATGTTTAAAAGTAATTTTTAATTTAAAGTTTCTGTAATATCCAGCTTGATATTAGAATAATTTATTTACCATTAAAAAAAATTTATAGCTAAAGTTCTGTCCGTGTTTTTTTAAATGTTACAGTTATATGCAATGATATCAATCAATGACATAAAATTGGTAATTTAAGTTAATGTTTATAACCTTGGTCTTCTGTCACAAAAGGATGGTTCCGTAAAGAATTTTAGTAGCAGCAGCACTACAAGTCCTTCTTGTACATTACATTCCCACTGTGTTTATGAACATGTATCTGGTACAGATACTGATGATGGTGAATATGAGGTAATTAATGTTAAGAACAATAATACTGATATTAATTTAAATGTCATTATTAAAAAGGTGGCATAAACGTGTAACTGGCATTTAAGCATCAATAAACTGAAATAATCAAAGATCAACAGAAGTAACTTATAAACATCAATTTTCTTCAACTCATTCATGTTTTATTGGCCAGTTGCTTATCAGTTCTGAACAATTAATTCTCCCATGTCTGTGTGAAAGATTACAATGTAGTCTATCTGTGATATTCAAATGAATAATTTCAGTGAACCATTAATTTCCTTTAGTTTCTGCAATACTAGATGTAACACTAAATGGTAGCAAACGAGCAAATTGTCAACAAAGAATGATTAACAAGTGTATCTGTGCAGGAAACAGACGTTAATGACTTTGAAACATGTGTATCATGTGAATTTATGTAACGATGAGCCACTCGAACAGCAGATTCTCATAATTTTTTTTTGTTTAAGTAACTTCTTCATTCCATAATTTGCAACCCACTACTAATACACCAGACAGACCTGGAGCACCAAGGAACATGTTGCGTCTGTGTTACAATAACCAGCCTCATATCTCTAGCTCCATAAATGAAAGAGCTCAAAGGCTTTTGAACCAGGCAACATTATTCACAGCTGCAAATCACAAAAAAGTGACCAGAACTGAAAGAGTCCTTTTTTTATTTTCTTTGTTTTTATTGAAAATTTCTAAAATCTGAACTGAGAGTTTGTAATATTCTAAGAAAGCAAATTTCTTAACCTTGAACAGGATATCAAAGATGGTTTTGAAGAACCCAAAGACAGAGTTCCCCAAGGTCATCAAAATACAACAAATAATCGCAAGAAAAGCCTTCAACGCAGCTTATCACGCCGCTCCGTTTTCAGGGATGAATTAGAAAAAGAAAAGCCATCATTCAAAACTATTTCCACTGTGGCATGGATGATAATCATTGGAGATACTCTCCATAACATCAGTGATGGATTGGCCATCGGTGCTGCTTTCGCAGAAGGTGGAAGCTCGGGTGTGTCTGGTGGAATCAGTACTTCTATTGCTGTGTTTTGTCACGAGCTGCCTCATGAACTTGGTAAATAATTATCTTGATGATTTTTAAATTTACATTGTAAGTATCCCTCTATTAGTTGCAGATGTTACATGATGCCCCAAATAAGCTCAGGACCACAAAGGGTTCTTAAAAAACTGGTCTGATAATGGCAGCCAGTGTTGCATCTCTACTGACATCTGAGATCACTACAATGTTACAGATTAGTAACCAACAATACATGTCTGCTAAATACATCATTTAATGATGTATTTAGCAAACATGTATTGTTGGTTACTAATCTGTAACATTTATTATTTACTTATGTAATATATATGTTAAAGATACACGGTGTGCAAAGGGAGTAGTTTGGATAGCGTGGGGCTAGTGCACTTTTCCATTGGGCTAGTAAATTCAGTTGTTAACTTGCCTGATGGGCAAGAGAAGATTATTGTGAAATTCAATTTGTTACAGAAGAACTGTAATCAATCGTGCCTGTCAAAATTTATTTTCAGGCGAGCTGAGATGACTTTTGGGTTATTGCATGCTAGCTATAAGTAAACTGACTTTCTTTGCACCCTAATACATCACCTGAGTGTTGCATAGGATTAATATAATTATAGATTTAGCCAGAGCTTAAAGCGAAGCTCCTGTTTATGCATTTTAAATTTACTTCAGACAATAGAATTTTAGACCATTGCAAAGAAATCCACAAATCTATGCTTAGCTTTAGGGGAGAACCATGTGACTGAAAAACATAAACTTTAGTCTACTATCAATTAAAAGCTAACAATTTGTCAGTGGAAAACTTCAAAAAGGCACGTGGCCTCAATGAGTTGGCACCTGAGCCCGTGATGCGGTCATGTGACTCTGGTCAGCGGATACCTTGTTTTGACAGCGGTCAATTGACCATAATATGGATGACAGTCTATTATCAAGTTACATACCGGTTAGAGGCATTTCACATTGGTTTTCCTGTGGCGCGGACGGACGGACGGACGGTCACGTGATGACCAGAATTTCTTAGCTGGATAGATTACCAAATTTTCTTAGGTTTGGGGCTCTGCTCACGGGCGCGTGGAGCTCCGCAGAAAAGACCACTGGTTTTTGTATTAATCATGACGTTAAATAAATTGATATTTGTGCTGTACCAGTATTTTAAATTTTAACAGCCTGAAATTAGTGTTATTATCACAGAATGGTTTTAATAAAACTTAAGTCAATTTTCTTTTCTTTCTCCTTGTGTCGCAGGGGACTTTGCAGTTTTGCTGACAGCTGGCATGACAGTCAAGATGGCTTTATTAGCCAACTTGCTTTCTGCCTTGTCTTGTTATATCGGCTTAGCAATTGGTATTTACGTTGGTCAAGAAGCTGATGTGCGTTTCTGGATATTTGCTGTTGCTGCTGGAATGTTCCTTTATGTCGCATTGGTAGACATGGTAAGAGTTTTATCAGTATTGATAGTGAGATCACTTTAAGTTATGGAAAAGTTCTTCTTGCTGTCCATTTCCCAATGGACAATTTAGGATGAAACAACGTTGTGGGTAGACTGCAGAACAGTCCGTATTTTTGCGTATTCAAGTACGTGCGATTAGTCGAGAGAGGCTGAAAACGGAGAGCGAGACTGTGGACAGACGCTAAAAATACGTTTTTCTTTTCTCTCGCATCACACGCCTCACAAATGAGGCTCTTGACCCACGCTCAACCAATTTTGAGAAAATGAGAAAAAAAACACTGTCTTGCAGTCTACGTTATGGGGTTCCTCAGGTATTAAACAATTTTGTTGTTGGAAGAGGTTTCAGTGATATCCGTAACGTAGTTGTCGTGGAAGTCACCCAAAAGATCTTTTCGTGACATACCCTGTAGCTGTTCTTGGGCCAGTAAGTAGTTTTCCATTGAAATCCCTTCGTTTCGATGACGCAACTTGGCAGTGGTTCGCAGGGGCAGTTCTCGCTCATCACGTTGCCATGGATACCTCCTTGATGTAGCCCCGAATTGTAAGGGGAATGAGTACAAGCTTTCGCGCAATGATTTCTAAGATCCTTTGGGTGGCAAAGCATTGCATATGATTGGTTAATGGTTGCTTTGAACACCATCGAGCAACCATAACTAACACTACCCAAAGTTTGTACCCATTCTCCCTAAGTTTTCTTAAGTGGGTTATGGCACTCAGCAACTTTTGAAGCCCTTTTTCACAGCTCATCTTCGGCGATGACATTAATTGATAATTTTTATGTTTTTTTTGTTGATCACAGCTTCCTGACCTGATGCACAGCGAAACTCTTCAAGCAGAACCTGTCGCTACGTTCTTGTTACAGAACTTCGGTTTGGTCCTTGGATTCGGGATTATGTTGATAATTGCGCTCTATGAAGAGGACTTAATGGCAATTAATTTCTAGCACAACTTACATAATATGTAGTGTAGTGTTAGTGAGTGGAGGCACGTTCAGACGAAAAGGGAAGGGAACTAGCAGCAAGATCGCGAAATAATTGGGGAAGATAAGTTGGTTTAATTTTAGTGTTTTAGAAGTAGCCTGTTGGATACCCTGGTACCAGAGGTTTTTCTTGAAAGTTTTCTCCACGTGAAAGAGAACGAGCTGCGCGAAGCGATAAAGACTAATCGCGAGTACCAAGTTAAAATTTTCCTCTAAAGCTACTTGCAAACGGACTCAACAACTCCCAGTATTGTTGGCGGCGAGACGTTTGACTCGTTTTTACTTTTAAACTTTGGGCAACAACTCCCAACAGCACGTATAATATTTTGGAAAAATAAATTCTTTCTCTGGCATAGAGACAGACAAAATTAACCTAAAGATATCCTCATCGTCCCATCGTTAGTCCAAATTATACGAACCAATCAAATTGATTTTGGTGTTTGTAAAATTATCAACCGATCAGCGTCCGATGGTCGGCACACTCTGACCCTGTAGTTTCCATGAAAGTGAGATTCAAGTGCAAGGTAACCAGAGGTTTTTCTCTTGCTTGTCGCTTTACAACTTGTTTTCACCTGTCCGAGCGTCTCGTTCTCTATCACGCGGAGAAAAATTTCCAACAAAAACCTCTGGGACCAAGGTACTTGTTGGAATGAATTTGTATAAGATGAAGACGATTTCCCCAACAGTGTACCAGCATATAGACTGATATACATGTACTACGTAAACAAATTTTTCTTTAATAAGAGCTTAGTTTCTCACTTACATCAGCCGATTTTCTCCTGTAAAGTGACCAGAATTTTTTTTTTTTGTCGATTTTTTGAAAATAACTTCTTTTATTTTTATATCCTGTATAAACCAGGGTCAGATTTTATTTTTGTCTCAATCACCAGATGATGATGGCTATATTGCGATTTGTATGACACTGAAATTTTTAATAGTTCAGTTCAGAGAAAATTTTTGTTCTTAAAAGAAGTTAGTAAACTGGCTATTATTTATACAAGAGATGTTTCATTAGAAAGATATTATCAACGTTTTATTCAAGAAACTTAGTTATTTTCTAGTTATAAGTAACTGATATCACGGAGTGATTTCATTAATGCCCATGATTGAGTGGTCAAAACAAAACGAAAACAGTGAAATTAGTCGTCATTGCGGAGCGCTAATATGGCGTCGTCATGGGTTATGTGAAATTGCTCGCTTATACTGCTAATACAATTATTAATCATGTTTAAGCGTAAATATAAAATTTTATGTAGTATTTAATCACGTTTTGAACTTGAATTGTGTTTGATAAAAACAGTGATATTTTCACAGTGAGAATAAAATTGATTTTTTAATATATAGAAACCAATGTGTCATCCTCCCTTAATTTCATTTAACTTTGCCCACTTCTCGGCTCGCTTCGCTAGCAGATTTATGCTGTTTCACCCCGAGGTTTTCCCTTACTACGAATCCAGGCTATAACGCCTCAGTTTGCAGTTGTCTGTGGAGAAGTCTTCATGTTTTCTTGTCGTTTTGACCTTGGGCCGCCCGGCACATCGGTTTGTACCAGTCGCTCGGAGATCATGCGATGTCGCGACTCCTTTAATACTGGATTTTAAGTAGAACCTTCAATTTTGCAGGTCAGAATAAATAGCAATCTATTCCACAACACTCGGATTCACGCTGAGTTTAAACAAGATATGGGAATAATATTGCTCAGCGCCCCCAAGCCGTATTGTTCATCTTTTACTTCCATAAGCCCCACAAACATCTTATAACAATCTTATTTCCGAAGGAAATCACCCCAATCATTACAAAATTCTCCCCAAATCTTTCCCCAAACTACAAAAAAAAAACATATTAATTAAATTAAATGTCCAGCTTATAAATGAATAAATGTTCAGCTCAATTACTTAAGTAATTAGTGCGATTGGGTCCGATTGGGGTCTCTTCCGTGAACGGCCGATGGAAAAACAAACGGAAAACTCTTTAGTTGATCCTATTAACGTCCATCACATCGCTAGAAGCCAGCTTTAACCGAAGCTCCAGAGTAGTTTGGCAAAGAAGTATGTCGGCGAGTCCACCGACCATGGTTCATGATTTCAGATAGTTGTACCCCTGAAATACCTAGAGTTACAGTACACCCTAGGATACAGCTTTACCATCTGACAGGAAGCTCCTAAAAGGGTTACAACATCTTTAAACAAACATAGATCGACTATAAATGTCTCCACGGGGGAGGGTCACAATTTCCCACTTCCCGTAGCCCGTTCTCCCGCCTCCCGTACTGTTTTGTCCCTTTGTCTCCCGACTCCCGCCCTTTATTGTGTTTCTCCCGTTACCGTGTAAATCATGCTGTTTGACTTCGTATTCTAATAGGGAGGGAGTGCTTTGGCCTTCACTCCGAAATAAAAACTGTGTTGTAAGTCGAACCACTCCGCACTCTCCAGCGCGATCATTGAAGCGGCATTCCTTCGACACAAGTTTACACCACGCGGCAAAATCTTCAGCGTTTTGTGAACTAAAGTCGTACGGAGCGAGCTCTCAGGAAGGTCTTCCATGGACGGATTTTTCCCCACCACACCCAAAAATACCGAGACCGATAAGAATGGTCTTTGACCTGCCTCGTACCCTGTGGGGAAGCAGTAAATACGACAGAGAACTCAATGTAGTTACATGTATATTTCAGACAACATTAACACAACATGGCGGTCATAAAAGTAACGAGAGCGAGAGCGAGGCAGAAAAAGGTTCTGTTCTTGTGACGTAAGCATTACATAAATGACCGCTGACCAGGTAACGAATTACATGAAAGGTAACGAAATACACGTTCAAATGTCACGATTTAACTATTTCACATCCTCCGGGGGGGAGGGGGCGCGAATGTCCTTGGCCCAATCTGCAATTCTCCTTATTGCTCGTCGTGCTGCATCTCTTTGTGGTCTCCTCACAGGGGTTGGAGTTTCTACTGCGGTTGCTTGATCCTCTGTGCAACACTGTGCTTCCTTGGCGTGAACTTCTAGAGGGTGTAATCTTGTTATGGGACGGTTTGTTGTTCCATTGGCGGTGCGTAAATTTGCGGAACGCACAAGTCCATCGCGACCTCTGTTAATGGACGTGACAAGTGCTAGTTTCCAGTTTACTCTAGGGCTATCATCATGGATTAGAACTACATCACCAGCCTTCACGGATTCTGTGTTGATTCCTGAACCTTTGTGGAACTCTCGGAGGGAGGTAAGGTACTCATGACGCCATCGTTGCCAAAAGTGTTGGATCAGTAAGGTGACACGTTTTGCCCTTCTTAGTAAATCTGTACTTGTTTGGTAGGTGGGATCACTCACTTCGTCACTTTCTACTGGTGGATGTGGTAATGACGTAATTCGTCGGCCATAAAGTAGATGTGCAGGGGTTAATGCTTCCTCATCCTTAATGTCTGAGGAAACGTAGGTTAGGGGACGATCGTTTAGAATTGCCTCTACTTCAACAACAATTGTCTGAAGAGTGCACAGGTTGACTGCAGCTCTGCCGAGTACCTTCTTGATGGTGGATTTGGTGAGACCGATGAGGCGTTCCCAAAACCCGCCGTACCAAGGCGCCTTCTTGGGGATGAATAGCCATTCAATGCCTTCCCTTGCTAGTGTTTCCTTGAGCGCACGAGATTGAAACAATTCCTTTAGTTCATTGTTCGCTGATACAAATGTTGAGGCATTGTCAGATATTAGTTTCCTTGGAAGAGATTTCCGACTTGCAAATCTGCGAAAGGCTAGTAAGAAGGCTTCAACGGTCAAGTCTTCGACAACTTCAAGATGAATAGCCCTGGTTGTTGCACAAGTAAACAGACATATGTAGACCTTTGTTTCGATTCCAGCATTTCGAACATACAGAGCTCCGGTGTAGTCCACCCCAGTGACTTCAAAGGGTTGTGTTTGTTGTATTCTTGACTTGGGAAGGGGTGGTGGGTCTGGTGCATTGTAGGCTGTTCCTGAGACCTTTCTGCAGGTTACGCATTTGTCAATTAAAGTTTTGACGCGTTGTCGGCCAGAAGGAACCCAATAAGTTTGACGTAGGGCGGTGAGTGTTGAGTTGACACCTGCATGAAGCTGTTTGACATGGGTGGAGTGAATTACAAGATCTGTGAAATGGTCTTTGCTTGGAAGTAGCAGAGGAAACTTGGTGTTGCCACTTAAGGGTGCGTTGTGTATCCTTCCGCCACAGCGTAGAAGACCACCATCATCAAGGAAAAGGCGAAGTTGACGTACCAAAGTTGTACGGTGTCGCGACTTCGAGAGGAGGTTGTTAACTTCAGCATGAAAGACAACAGATTGACGATTCTTCACCCATTCTGTCATGGCATGATCATATTCCATGGCTGTAATTGGGCCTTGTTGACTAAGTTTCTTCTGGAGAAGTTTTACAAATCTGAAAACATAGGCTGTAACACGTAGAAGCTTTGGTAAACTGCTGAAATCCGATGGATTGATCAGGCGATGAAGGCCTTGCTGTTGAACTGGGACTGTGCCGTCTGTGGTAGACCCACCAGGAGAGGTTTCAGTTGCTGATAAGTGAAGAACCTCTGTCGTAGGCCATGAAGGCCACTGGGATCTGTTTGGTAACCATGTGGGACCATGTTTCCACAGCAAGGAAATCTCTAGTTGATGTGCTGTTATCCCTCTTGTGAGAAGATCGGAGGGGTTTTCAGTTGTAGGGCAGTACTTCCAGTTTGAAGTTGATGTCAGCTTCTTTACTTCTTGGATGCGAGTGTTGACGAATGGCTTCAACAACTTGGTGCTTTTGAGCCAGTGGAGAACAATTTGGCTGTCAGACCACAATGTGACTCTTGTAACTGGCAGTTGTTCTTGAAGATATGAAGCTAAACGTGCGGCTGTTAGAGTTGCCATAAGTTCCAATTCTGGAAGGGTGAGTTTCTTCCTTGTCGGAGCAACACGCGACTTCGCCATAGCTAACGATGACTGGTTTCCACGTACTAAGTAAGCAGCAGCTCCATAGGCTTTCTGGCTTGCATCAGCGAAAACATGTAGTTCTGTATCGCTGCTATCGACAGAGACATTAGAAGAGAAGTAGCGACGTGGGAACTCAAGTTTGGTTGCATCTCCAATCTCCTTTGCTACAGCACGCCATTTTTGATCAAGAGAAGGTGGAAGGGGCTCGTCCCAATCAATCCCTTCCTTCCACAGTTCTTGTATTAGAATCTTAGCCGCAACGGTGACTGGTTGAAGTAAGCCGAGTGGATCAAAGACTTTTGCTGTTTCTTGTAACACCTCTCTCTTGGTTGACAACGGGGGGTAGAGGTTGCCTGTTTACATGAGAATCGTAGCGTGTCTGAAGTTATGTCCCATACCATGCCAAGTACTTTTTAGTTGGACTAGTGTCGAGGATTTGATTTTTGGCTGCAATATGTTGAACACCAGGACTGTTTGAACTCCATGACCTGAGATTGAAGCCCACCGGTGACATTTTGTTCCTGGCATCTTGGTAATAGTTGACTGCTGAATCATCATCGTTTGTTCCCGAGGCGAGATCATCCACATACAGATTCCTTAACATATCCATGCTGACTTGGTCTGTAGACTGTGTGAGGTGCTTATTGAGAGTGGCATTTAAGATGAAAGGGGAACTTGTGGCACCAAACATGACAGACTTGAATCGGTAGACAATGAATTCACTCTCCGGGTCATCCGTGTTAGATAGCCAGTAGAAGCGCGTGGCATCTCGATCAGCTTGGTCTAGGTTTACATGTAAAAATTCCTTTTCAATGTCTGCAGTTATAGCATACTGGTGGAGACGGAAGCGTAGAAGTATACCAGTAAGATCATTGAGAAGTGGAGGACCTGGCTGTAAGCAATCATTCAAGCTGGGTTGTTCACCTCGTTTGAAGCTGCAGTCGTACACAATGCGTAGAGGAGTTGTGGTAGAGTCCTTGAGAACAGCGTGATGAGGTATGTAATGACACACTCCGTTGGTTGTTTCTGGATTGTCCACTCTTTCGATAAAATCGCGAGATTGTTGTTCTTGGATGATGTCATTGTACATGCGTAATTTATTAGGATCTTCAGCTAGTTTTCTGACCATGGAGCGGGTTCTCTGCTTAGTGATTTCTGCATTTGATGGTAGAGGGGATGTTCTGGTCGCCAGGGTAGCTTTGCACTGTACCGGCCATCCTCCAACATGATAGACGAGTTTTGATAGTACTTCAGAAAGTCAACCGTTTCTTCTGATGAGCTTGGCTGAACACCAACTGATTCAATCCGCCAGAAACGTTCCAAATCAAATTGTTCTTGATGATGCTCAGTCACAACATTTAAAATAGACGTGTTTAGGTTCTCTGAATGGTTACTGTTGGAGGGGGCCCGAAAGGAGGTATCCTATCTTTGATTTGGCTGCTGTGGGACCTGGACCCTTGACAACTTCGTTTTCCACTATGTCCCAATAATGATCTGCACCGATTAGAATATCAACTGTGAAAGGTGAATCATCAACGTTTTGTGCTAATGACAGTCCCTTTAAGTGTGGTAGTTCCCTTACATTGGCACCAGTGTAAGTAGTGAGGGGGGGCAGCTATTGTTGGTACAATGATCACGCGAATGGGAATGTTCTCCTCTTGAGCGGTTTCAACAAAACGGTGGCAGTGTCAATGCGTTTAACGGATGATGTGTTCCCACCAAAGGTTGACAGGGATATGGTCTCTTGCATTTCTGGTTTCAGATCAAGTTTGGTCGCTACATCTGAAGTAATGAAGGAGCGTTGAGACCCTTCATCAAATAAAATGTGTGCACTGATGTGGTTGTTGTGACTACCAACAGAAGCAACGGCTGTTTTCAGTAGAACGGGGGTGTGTCTGCTAGTATCACCAATGTGGTAGGATGAGACTGAAGGTGCTGTAGTCTTGTCTGTGGTGGGTGTACATTGAGCCTTGTTTGTAGTTGGCGGTTCAGTGGATGACACTAGGGAGTTGATTCTGCATTTTGGCAAAGACTGGTATGATGCTTTCGATGGCACACCTTACATCTGTTCCGTGACTTGCATTTAGATACTGAATGACGATTAAGACAGTTAAAGCATACCCTTGCATCACGTACAATGGAGTATCTCCTTCCCTTGTCTGTTACAACATTACAATCATTTGAACTGTGTTCGCCCTTACAGAAAAGGCATGTTCGCTTGGTAGGGCGCCGATCAGTGGGAGGAGGGAGAACAGGTGTAGGTGGCTTTGAAGTCGTGAGAAATGCAGCAGTAGCAGCAGTTGTTGAGTTGCTACTGAGTTCATAATCGCTAGAACTGTTCTGACCTGCTTCTAAGATTTCAATTTCGTTCAAGATTGCCTTACGTAAGTTGTCAAGCTGCCACTCCTTGTTTCCATTTTGCCTTGCTAGATTCCTCTTAATTCCATTAGGTAACTTCTTCTGAATGATGGGAACAAGAATATCTCCATACGTTTCTGTTTTCTTCCCTAGTGACTCAAGTCCCCTGATGTGTGTTTCAACTGAGTCATAGAAAAGCCTCAAACTACTTAAATGATCAGTGGGTGATGGAAGGTTGAGCAGTGCCTCCATGTGTGCATTGATAATCTTGTGGGGTTGAGCGAATCTATCTTTCAATAACTGGATGCTCTTAGCGTAATTGGCACTGGTTAATGGCAACCCGGCAATGACTCTTTCAGCTCCGTCGCGTAACTGTGCTCTCAAATAATTGAACCTTTGGACATCACTGATCGAAGAGTTATCGTGTACTGCAGACTGAAAGGCGTCCCAAAACGATTGCCATTCAAGCGGGTTCCCATTAAACGATGGCAGTACAAGTTTAGGTAAACGATTAGTTTGGAATGTACTCACCGGCGGTGGTGTAATCGGGTAATCGGTGGTGTAATTGGGGATTCTCTGCTGAAGCGGCTGTGTTACTTTGAAAATCGCTACCTGACGTTCCAGTCGAAGGTGGGGAATTGGATTGTTGATTTTCTTGTTCCGTTTGCGACGTAGATGGAATGGGTTGCTGATTTGTTTGTCCCTTTTGCGGTGAACTTGACGGAGTACTGATATTCCCGGACTGTGAGACAACACGTACTGGTCGAGGTTTCTTTTGGCGAGCTCAATTAAATTGTCGGTGAGGCAAACCTTCTCCACGATAAGGCTGTCTAGTTCCTCTGCATCGAGTATTTCTGCTTCGAGTTCCTCAGGAGTTTCCAGTAAAACTGCTATCTTATCGTTAAGTTCCTTGAGGGTTTGTCTCTTTTGCTTTAACTGCTCCACGAGAGACTTGAGTAGTACAATTCCGTTGTCGGCTATTGTTCCTTCTGCAGTGTCATCGATTTTCTGTCTTAGTTTGGTTAAATGTGCTTTGTGAGCTCTTCTTGACGCTAGCAGTTTCGGTAACTCTTCCATCCTGGTCTCGGCACCAAAAATGTGGGGAAGCAGTAAATACGACAGAGAACTCAATGTAGTTACATGTATATTTCAGACAACATTAACACAACATGGCGGTCATAAAAGTAACGAGAGCGAGAGCGAGGCAGAAAAAGGTTCTGTTCTTGTGACGTAAGCATTACATAAATGACCGCTGACCAGGTAACGAATTACATGAAAGGTAACGAAATACACGTTCAAATGTCACGATTTAACTATTTCACATACCCAGACGTCTCTCTTTCGATGAAAATGTGTGCGCAAATGAAGGCGGGAAGGTGGTCTTTGACTTGACGACATTTGACCTGACTCGCTTTGTCGTTTTTACGGAGGATTTCGACAGCTAGCGAAACAGACGAGACACTGACACGACTGACACAGTCGACACACGTGTACGTGTGTCATGCCATCTCTCATTCATGTCTTATGGGAAGGTTTCCAATTTTGACTTTTAATTTCTCGCCTATAAAATTTTGCTTTAAGCCTCGGAGGACGTTAAATGGGAGTCAAGAAATGTTGCTGGGTTCGTTTCTTTGACTGGATGTAAGCAGTAACAAAATAACGAAAGGCAAGTTAAATTTCCACTCCCGCTTCCCGCCATCGTAGAGATCCCGTTTCCCGCCCCTTCTTGTCCCGTCTCCCGTACCCCTCCCGCTCCTTCCGGGCTCTAGCCCACCTGTTCCCCCGAACAAGGAACTTAGATGCAACAGTGTGGCGTGTGTTTGAATCTAAAAACTGTTTTTAAGACAGCCAAACTAAAATGTTCTTCCTAAAAATTGGCGTTTTCTTGTACTTGAAATTGTCGCTTTACGAGTTTGTTTTTTCACACCAGAGCCGAAATCACGTGCATTACTCGTTCAAAGAATTGCAAGACGCTGTTAATGGCGATTCCTTGAAGTCAGATGATCTACAGAGGCTATTTGACAAGCTGCATTTCTTGAACTGCTCTGCAAACAAACCGAGTCGAGATTACCGAAGGGTAAGATAGGTGTTGTTGGCACAAATAGCCCAAAAAAGATGAAAATGGTACACTAAAACTTAGAAGTCTTAAACTTAACTTAGTAAGGTAAAAGTTTCTAGCGAAAAATATATATCTCTGAAAACTAATTACGACGATTTTTAATACGAAAGACAAAAATGAAAAAGTAAAACTAAGCCCAAATTACGATGAGATAACTGGATTTTTTTACCCCGTAAGACCGATCGATCTTCGAAGCTACCCTTTCTCAATGTCTTCGACCACGCGGTTTTTCATTATCTGCATTCACTTTCACGCTTTGTTCTTTTAGTGTTTCAGCCCTATAGAATTGCACGATATTCATGGATCCTCACCGTCAAAAGCATTAAATTCCTCGGAGTTTGTAGAGATCAGTCCTTCGATTGTTTACTGCCTTTTGCCAGGGCGTGAAAAGAATTCTGGTCAACAACGTTGCGATTCTCCCAGGAACCACAGCGAACTTTTCGACTCGTTTACAGGGAAGTTCAGTCATGGCGAACACGGGATAACTTACGAAGCTCTCGATGAAATTCTCGAGGAGATAAACAAGACGATCGGGGACTTTTTAACTGAAAAGAAGGTAGGTTAAATTTAAGGATAAAAAGCGGTTTTAAAAAAGGGTAGTTTCAGCACGATCTTTGCTTCCTCTTGAAAACTTTGTTTCAAGAAGCTTATAAAAAGCTAAAGCTTATATTACCCTGCGAGCAAAGGATTCTTTCTGGCATGGCTGTTAACATTTACGCATCCGTGACTGACAAGCGACGCGAAAGTCTTCGTAAATATTAAAAGCCGTTTTAGAAATTACAAACCTCAGATCGCGGGGTATCAATTATACACTCATTATAAAGTTACATGTTAGCGGAAAGTTTATTCATACAAAATGTAGCTGATGTACTGTTTTTGCTCAGCCTTAAAACGTTTTTCGCATAGCCTTGTACATTTTTTATTCGTCGCATATTCTGTCCGTCTATGACGAAGTAAGTTATGGAAGTAACGGATTATTAAGTTTGTCAAGAAATGTTGAGGCTGAAGAAATTTTGTTGAAAGTCAAGAATATCTCTCTTTTGATTTGTTGTAACAGGGGGGTGAATAGGGGTATGCAAATCCGCCGATCCGTGGTATTTTTAGGCCCGATCCGTCGATCCGACTTAATTTTTGTTCTAATCCGAATCCGTGTTACTTTAAAAAGTTTTCGTAGTATATAGAAAGTAGCGTTGTAGCATGAAAAAATGAATTACTTGATATAGTTGTTCTGTAATCGCAACAGATGCGGGTCTTCATGTTTAAAAAGTTTTCGTTACAGCTTCAAAACATTAAGCATTAGGGACAGAGCTTATAATGTTTCTTCCAACAATACAGATTTAACTAATCAAATAGTCTGCAAGCTTGCAAAATAAAAGTATCTGGTATTGCGTAAAAGATTTTTCAATAACTTTACTTACTGACATCACTTTGGACGTGCTTCTAGTCGAGCCGCAAAATTCGGAAGAGGCAGAACTCAACTTCATGGTAATTTGCTTACCAGTAAGTATTTTCCATGGTTCATCTTTTGCCGTGTTTACCCTCAACCAAGATGGCGACAGAAACCGTGAAAAGGTCTATTAAGTTAACGATCAAGACAAGCAAACTAGCTGAAATAGCTTCGAAGAACATAATTTATATCAGTTCATGTATAAACCAAATATAAAGCTTACCGAACGTGCTCGCCTAGCTTCACCACACTTCCCTACTGACTGGAATCGACGCAGCATCGAAACATATTTTTTTGAATAAAGTCATCGCCTTTGGCACCTTCGTGGTAGAAAAAGGCTACACACTCGATAGTTCTAGTTTCCATTTTGCAATTTAAACCGGAATTTACACGAACGCATTCACAGATCTTGTCAGGTCACTTAGCATTACCGCCATTACCTGAACCATGTGCCACCATGCAGGAACCATGCACAAGGTTGCCTGACGTCATTTCCGTCACGTGGTCTATACTAGAATACATGTATACCGTATGAGTCGGGTAACGAGAAAGCCTCTTTCGGAAACCTCGGAAGTGAAACGTTAGGCGACAAAACACCAGCACATTGACCAAGGCTGACTGAAAATTGATGATCCGATCCACGATCCGAACTTCCAGACTGACAGAATCCGGAAACCGGGCCAAAACTTTCAGCTGATCCGCGATCCACGGTATTTTTCAAATCCGCGAATCCGCTCGATTTATCGCCGAAATCCACAATCCGTGAGCTTTTTAAGGCCAAATCCGCCGATCCGCGGACCTATTCACCCCCCTCTTGTAACATGTTAACTTTCATTGGCTAGTCAGACGTAAGCTTATATTTTACTTGATAGTTGTATGTTTACAGCACACCTCCAGTGCTTTGTTGATATTAATTTTTTCGGAGATTACTAAGTAAATGCGGGTGACAAGATCAGCCCACAGCCTTATCTTGACTTGGTCAGCAGCACTTTATTAACTGTATGGCTAGGTTTTACTCGATCGGTTCACATTCTTGAGATCTCGGTGTTCTTCAAACTGATATGCATGGTATGTGAATGGTCAGCTGTTTTCATGATGCTGCAAAGTCAGCGTTTTTCACGGTACTGACGCTACGTATCGCTGCATGCATTGAACTTCGAGAAAGAAGAAGAGGTGCAAGAAGAAAAGTGAGTGTTTGGAATGAGTGAGTTGAGCTTAATACATGCCACAATTGATTTCAGTTTAAGCTTATATAAATCCTCAAAGTTAAACACTTGTGCTCCATTTCTCTCATTGTTTTCATGATTGATGTTGAGTATTCAAAGCATGTTAATCAATTTGCCTAGGGTAATGCGTAGTTTGTTTGCCAGCCTGGTATTTATTTACCCAGGAAAATGAAAGTAGAGCCTGATCTCAGCTTAGTGCACGAGAAGTTTTCGGTAAGATATGACTGTTAGCAAAGTCTAGAAATCGAAATTTATTCAGGTTTTGCTACAGTGCATGGTTTTTATATTTTTGTGCATTTCCAAGCATGTTATGTCGCTTGTCATCCGAGCAAAAGCTTCTAAGCTTTAAATTGGTAATTTCAGCTGTTTCATAGTATCGCATATCAACGGCCTATGGTCATTGGACACGGATTGAATATTTGATTGAATTTAAATAAGATTTCATGCAGTCATGACCTTAAACATGCATTACTAGTGTCACGCATTGCTGTTTCAATGTATCTTTGCCGGTGAATACAGCCGTCTCCTTGCTCCTCACCATTCACAGGCTGATATTGTATCCAAGCACATGTGAATAAAATCTTGAATTAAATATGTGTTTACTGTGTTGTTCAATCCAGTCTAGTTTTCATGATCAGCAGTGATAACCTTTTGTTGACACTGGAAATAAGGGCGTACACAATTATGAAAGGGGTTTTCATCAATCACATCTTCACCCGCATTTCCTAGCCAATGGCTAATGCTAGTTGATATTAATTTAGTAGATAGGGTAGTGGTAGTCAGTTTGTTTTCATGTGGAGGCTTCCCTGTGTGCATTCAATGTTTTTTTCTAAATTCAATCATACATGGATGTGCAACATATTAATATTTTACTTAAAAGATCAAATATAAATTATTGGACCTATGATCAAACACTAACTTTTGAAGCTTTTGAAGCTTTTGAGGCTGGACAAATTTCGTGGCTTGAATTTTTATGGCTGATGTGTGAATGAATTTTCCTTTACTTTCTTAGCAGATATTTTTTGCCATTTCACTGTTCATATTTTTTCTTTCACAAAATTAATGACGTACAGGAATTTGGTTTTGCTAATTGCCCAAATTAAAATTAATTGCCCAACACTAATTTCTGTGCATGTATCATTCCATGAAATATTAACCACATTCCTGAAGAACTTATTAATATTAGACCTAAATACTGATCTGCATTTTTAGTCAAACCTCATGGTTTGTTATTCGTTTGTAAAACAACTTGAGAATCTTTGTTTTCAAAAAACAATGTGGTGGGATAGTCTTCTTCCAAGTGCGCCAGTTCCAGTAGTCACACTGTAAAGTTTTCAGAGGTTGCATAGTTGAATTTTGACTTTTATTGGCCTGTTTGCAAAATAACTTGAGAATCCTTTGTTTTCAGATATCGTTGTGATTGGACAATCTTCTTTTAAGTGCACTGGTTTGAGTAGTCACAATGTAACTGTTTCATTGTAGAAACCACAAAACAAACAGGGCATTCTCTGCATCCTATTATTTTTTATAAATACTATTTTAACATTGCTATCAGTAGCAATGGGGATTAGATATTAGTTCCTACCGAATCACAAGTCTGAATCTTTACAATCAGCGAACAGGGGTTTCAATAAAAAAAATTGAAGTAGCCAACAGGTTTGAATAGAGTGGCCAACTGTGTCAACAAGGAGCCAGTAATCCATGTTTTCAAGGGGTGTCTGGGGGCGACTTTTCCATTCAAGAAGATGTGAGTTTAAGTCAAATTTTGCTTATTAGCTATGCAATTAACTCCTACAAGCAAATTATGAACAAATGATAATTACTAAGTTACAGACATTTCTGCGTGAACAAATTCTAGTTTTGTCCACGACATTATTTGAACTAGTTGCTTCTTCTTTGGGGGGAAAAAGTAGCCAACTTCTCTGAACAATGTACATGTAGCCGACGCTTTTCACTGGTTGTTGGTGCTTTTTAAAACTCCCTGAGCAAACTACTGAATTACCAAGTTAAAATACTATCAAAGATCTAATATTCTTCTTTATATTTCCAGTGTTTTTCAGCGGAAGACATTTTTAAAGAGTTAGAAGAGGAAGGCCATCATCACGAGGAAGGTGAACACGGCCATGAAGAAGAAAAGGTTCTTGATCAACATGATTTTGAGAAAGCCTGTGCCAGCATTATCCTGCACCTGGTTAAAGGATACTGTATCAAGGAGGGTCACGGACACAACAAGACCAAATCTAATCTACCATCAAAAGAATTCTTCATTAATGAACTTTTTAATGGCAAAAAGTACCTTTCTGAAGAAGGCTTAGAAAGCATTGCTGAAAGTCTTGGTATTGGAAAGAAATCTTCTGAATCAACAGCCTCGTCTTCAAGTGAAAGCCATGATTGCCATAACCACAGACCCCGAAGGTCTGCTGCATCTGCTGTGTCATCACAGGAGGAATCAGCTGCATCTCACAACCTTCATCGCCGTGCAGTTGATTCTCATACTCACAGTAGTGGTGGAAGTGGCAGTGTAGGTGCTACTCAAACATCAAGCCTCCTCCTTACCCCCATACAGGCCTTCTGATAGGTCGTGGAAAAAAAAGTCAAATTTTGCGGGATTTTTAGGGACAAAATCGCGGAAAAATCGGCCGATTTTGCAGGATTTCGCGAGAATTTTTGGGGCAAACTTGGCCGGAAAGCAATCAATAAAAAAACAGCAGATTTTGTGGTTATTTTCAGGGCAAATTTTGCTGGAAACCGATCGGTTTTGCACCAATCAGACCAGTGTTTTTAATGTTTTTCTAACAGAGGTCATCATTAATTTTGCTCTTTCAACAACAATACGCTCCAGAAATGAACCAATGGCAAAGCCTTTAACATCATCGCTAGTGCTCAGTTTTTCACAACATAATCTACGCCTGCTAGTTTCGGAACGTTGTTTGCACATTTCAGTGGTGAAGTTTTGACATAAATTTGCGAGTTTAAGTACCCCCAGTAGCTGAAACAAGTTTCAAAATAGCTGTACAGACATGCATTTGATAAGATTTCGCTGGATTTCGCAGATTTACCTGAATTTCGCTGCTCCGCGACCGCGCAAAATATCAGAAGCCCTGCCTATACTAGCCTACTTACATTAATATGCTTTCCATTGGTATGATCTGGACCGGGATCAGTGATCTGATATCAGTCAGATCATTGCCCATCAAAGGAACCCACAAAATCCACCCTGGAAAAGGATTCATTGGTTCTTTTGATCTTGATCCAGATCATTACAAAACAATCTTATTAAACTTTATGAATCCTTTTAAACTTTTAAGGGACATTTATAAATTGAGTTTAGTAAAGCTTGATTGTCATCCTTGAGACAAAGTTCCCCTCCCCCTCTTTTTTTTGAGTCACTCAAATCTTTCTGGGTTTCATGTGTCGTACAGTAAAGGAACTTCTATCTTTTTTGAGGTAATTTGTATACTTGGCTGAGTAAACCTTACTATGTTCTCATTAACCTTAAAAACCAGCAAGAATAACCAGTTCTTTGGAAAGAAGTTGAAATTAGTACACTGTAGTTTTGTGACCTTAGATAACTTCTTACATTGTGTCTATTGTACTGTATCTATATATAGCAGCCTTTTCAACTTAAACTGTACGTTAGGTTTACGCAATATAATATGTATTCCTGAACAACGATCAGTTACTTGTTTACAAAGAATATTCATGTTTTTTAGTGTTACTCAGTTGATCAGATGCTGACAGTTTTTGACATTGATCACTCCATTGGAGCAGATGATTATGACTTCAAACAGCTTTGCCCTGCTTTTATTCAACAAGCAAAGAGTGGAGCTTGCAAGCAACAGTCAAACCAAACAAAAACACATCCAGAAAAGCATATGGGAGAAAGTAAGTGTGCATGTTATAGGTCATGTTATGCGGAATATTTTATGATTACGCCTTCTGGATTGTGTTCGCTTTAAGGAGGATTTCGTTAATCGAGGCTCGTTAAATCGAGGCCTTGTTCCATACATTACATTTTACTGTAATTTTGGCCGGGCGGAAGAAAATTGTTCTTAATATAACCAAGGACTTCATTATATAGAGGTTTGTTAAATCGAAGTTCCACTGCATCTGTATTAATTTTTCTAGGAAACCTTTTTCTTTGTGATATTTTGTTTAAAATATAATAGGAATGTCTTCATTAATTTTGAGAGTTCTGATAGCAAGCATTGTACTGGTTTAACTCATGATCTTTTTGGTTTTGTTTCTTATCTCCAGTCTGGGGTTATGGCTTTGCCGCTGTTTCTATCATCAGCCTTACATCTTTAGTGGGCGTGGCTACTATTCCATTTCTGGGAAAGAAAATGTACAAGAAGATCTTGGCAATGTTGGTGGCTCTTGCTGTGGGAACTCTTGCTGGAGACAGCGTACTTCATCTCTTACCTCATGTACGTTGCCCATAGACCCTGTTTAAAAAGGTCCAGACAAATTTATTTTTATGCAACCTGTTTATAATACAGAAATGTGCACATTCCATTACAGATTGCTTTAATTGTTCACAGTAGTCAGCTGTTCTGAAAACCTCTGAAGGTTTAAGTGTTTCACTTCTAGTTAAAGTTAGCTTTTTGCTAGAACCCTGAAAGTGGTTTCTTAATTGTAATGGTAAAATAATTATTAATTAATAAATCATTTTGTGGTCAGGCATTTGGTCTCCACCAACATGAAGATACAGCCGAAGGTGACGGCCATGCTGATCATTCAGAAGAGAAGGGATTCATTTGGAAAGCCTTGGTGGTGCTGCTTTCCATTTATGGATTTTTCTTGTTTGAAACTTTGATGCATCTGTGTTTGAAGAGCAAAGCTGGAGATCATGGTGGCCATAGCCACATTGATGTTGAGGTCAGTAATAATACAATATTTATTATACTGTTTCAGACCTGAGAACTACAAAAGTAAAGTGATGGTAAGTTTTGATATATCTTTTTAGTAAAATCCAACTAGTGGTCTATTATCAATGCTGCATTCTGATTGGTTGAGCTACTACTAGGCTATATGTTATAGCCCCCTAGTAGCGAAAAGCACGGGCTTTTTGGCAGCAAAAAAGGATTAAAGTCTATCTTTAACTAGCTATTTTTTTTCTTCTTGATATTTTTGACCAACTAGTTGGATTGGCCTCATGGCCTCTGAGTCAATAGTCCATTCGGCCTTCGGCCTCATGGGCCATTGACTCAGAGCCTATTCGGGCTCGAGGAATAATTGTTAATTAATCAGTGTAAACAAAAAGAATATTATATTTCGTTAGGTACATGTACATGTAAGTGCTGCAAACAAAGAGGTTTCATTTGAATGATCATGCCATTGGATTAAATAGTCGAACTCAAAATCCAAACCACCTTACACTGTATATGATGCTAAGTGTAATAAACAGTACCACAGCAAAGTGCTTCTCAGCAGCTTTCATTTGAACCATCACTGACACTTATTAATTCATTTCATCCTTAGGCTTTAAAGTTAACAATAATATTTTTATAACTACTGAATGTGCTTTTGCAAACAGCAAACGAGTCCAACATTGGGATAATTATACATTTCTGGAAAACTGCCCACCTACCCCTCTCCTAAGCCAACATTTTGCCCAAAGTGAGAAGTAAGTGTTAATATTGGCTTAAGGGAGGGGTAGGTGGGCAGTTACCCAGAAACGTATAATCCATAATTCTGTTATATCATTAACCATTCTTTGGAAACCAAGATTACAGGCCGTGCGTTCTAATCTAATTATATACAATGTGCATGTACAGTCTTACTGTGCCATTTCCCAACTTCTGAAACAAGAAGGAAACTTGGTGAGCTTAGCTTTCATAAAGACTTCTTGGATATCGTTACTGGGGACACACTATTAAGCTATTGGTCAATTTGTTTCCCTGTCCCCAGTAACAGTTCTAGAAGTCTTTGCAGTAGTTAACTGGGCCCAGTTTGCCTCTCATTTCTAAACTGGCAAATGGCCATTTACTGCTCACAGATAACTTGCTGGCCTGATTGTTTGACTATTTTCAAATATCACACGACTATATATGCAAAAGGAATTAAGAAAGTAATGCTTCCTTTTGGCTTAAAGTAAGCTCCATTTTTTGTACAGCTTCCTGGACCTTCAAGTCGGCACATGAGCTTTAAAAAGCAAAGGAGATGTTCCAGGCTGGAGCATCATGAAGGAGATCATCCGCTTGGTAAAAATGATGAAAAGCCTCCCATGGAAAATGGTGACATTGTTTTAACAAACATGGTGAGTGTGACGATATTGCATTGTTTTAGCATCCAACCAGATTTTAGCAACAGTTTAATGTCATGGCCGCTCATGAGCTCACTATGTTCTGATTTTTATACAAGTTGAGATTTAAGTATGTGAGCCAATTATTTACATGGCATCAGAAGTTGGACACAAAAAGTGTAGAGGTGTAGAATACAAATCAAATGTTTATTTAATAGGAGGATATATTAATAATAAAATTTAATAGTATATTGATCCACCAACCATGATCAAGGTTCATGATACACCAATCACTAACAACCACGATGACAGTCCCACTTAATAAATCAACACTACTGTCTGATGAAACCCTGTACTTGATCAAAATGTCACAATCAATATCTAAGTGACTCTTGTGAGACAATAAAAGTAGTCATAAAAGGTTTACATCTCTACTTCAGCAATAACAGTGGCTTTTATAAGGTGTTGTTTTGGTTTTTCAAATCCTGTTACTGAAAAAGTATATATAATTTTATATATTATCTTTTTTACATGTATATGTAGTGTCATACTCCAGTGCTTCTGGTGAAAATTAAGGATCATTAAAAAAGTCAAACTGCCAATTGTTTTAAACTTTGGTTCCAGTACCACAGGGCAGTCAGAAAAATATTAATCTTCCAGCTCAAGGGATTAATAATATTGTTATGATTTTTTTTGGTCAATAATCTAGTGACCAGTCCATAATCTTGAAATTTATGATCCTGAATTAAATATAAAAAAGTTTAATCCAGTGACATCAAGAGTCTGACACTCTAAATTGACTGAATATTTGACTTACTTAAGTACATATTTTAAAGCAATTTTTAATTTAAAATTTCTGTAATATCCAGCTTGATATTAGAATAATTTATAGCTAAAGTTCTGTCTGTGTTTTTTTTAAATGTTACATTTGTATGCAATGATATCAATCAATGACATAAAATTGGTAATTTAAGTTAATGTTTATAACCTTGGTCTTCTGTCACAAAAGGATGGTTCCATAAAGAATTTTAGTAGCAGCAGCACTACAAGTCCTTCTTGTACATTACATTCCCACTGTGTTTATGAACACGTATCTGGTACAGATACTGATGATGGTGGATATGAGGTAATTAATGTTAAGAACAATAATACTGATATTAATTTAAATGTCATTATTAAAAATGTGGCACAAACGTGTAACTGGCATTTTAAGCATCAATAAACTGAAATAATCAAAGATCAACAGAAGTTACTTATAAACATCAATTTTCTTCAAGTCATTTATGTTTTATTGGCCAGTTGCTTATCAATTCTGAACAGTTAATTCTCCCATGACTGTGTGAAAGGTTACATGTAGTCTATCTGTGATATTCAAGTGGATAATTTTTAGCAAGCCATTAACCCATTCGCCCCTGAACTGCCCGTAACCGCCCGTGCGGATCCAGGTCCTTTCTACCCATTGTGACGTCATCAGTTTTAACGGTCAAAGACAACTTTCTTCGCTAACTTGTGCAGAATGAAGAGATCTTTCAAACCATACCAGAATGAGCACAATTTAGTCAAGGACACCGGAGAAACAAGCAAAAAACCACGTGACATCGACCGGAAAATCTCCATGAAAATCTTGTTCCATTACCCACCTACCTTTCCTTTCAACTAATCCTAAGATCCTAAAAGCTTTCCTAAAAACTCTTCCCACCAAAATCAAGCCTACTAAATGCCCAGCAAGAGAAAAAAAAAATGAGGCAAGAAAAGCGAAAAAAGAAGGGAGGAGAGAAAGCGAAAAGTAACAGTCAAGACTGCTGTGTCACTTTAAAACCCAACCCATGCTTTCTGCGCATGCCCGAACTTCGCAAGCTGATATTTTGCATCTGGATCAGAAGGCCGCAAAGTGTTCGACCTGTAAACCAGTTTGTGGTAAGCTTTAGCTCTTTATAGAACGACAGTGACCAGAAAACAACGCGACTAGCTTCCAAACGCGTTTTTCGGCAAAATCTCCAGGGGCGAATGGGTTAATTTCCTTTAGTTTCTGCAATACTAGATGTAACACTAAATTGTAGCAAACGAACAAATTGTCAGTAATTATTTGAAATTCATCAACATACACCAACAAAGAATGATTAAAAAGTGTATCTGTGCAGGAAACAGACGTTAATGACTTTGAAGCATACGTATCATGTGAATTTATGTAATGATGAGTCACTTAAACAGCAGATTCTCATAATTATTTTTTTGTGAGCACCAAGGCACATGTTGAAGGTTTTGATACTTTTTCTTCCATTTGCTTCTGTGTTACAATTACCAGCCTCATATCTCTAGCTCCATAAATGAAAGAGCTCAAAGTTTTTTGGAGAAGGCAACATTATTCACAGCTGCAAATCACAAAAAAGTGACCAGAACTGAAAGAGCCATTTTTCTATTTTCTTTGTTTTTATTTAAAATTTCTAAAATCTGAACTGAGAGTTTGTGATATTCTAAGAAGGCAAATTTCTTAATCTTGAGCAGGATATCAAAGATGGTTTTGACGATCCTAAAGACAAAGTTCCCGAAGGTCATCAAAATACAACAGATAACCGCAAGAAAAGCCTCAAACGCAGCTTATCACACCGCTCCGTTTTCAGCGATGAATTAGAAAGAAACAAGGAATCATTCAAAAGTATTTCCACTGTGGCATGGATGATAATCATTGGAGATACTCTCCATAACATCAGTGATGGATTGGCCATCGGTGCCGCTTTTTCGGAGGGTGGTAGCTCGGGTGTTTCTGGTGGAATCAGTACTTCTGTTGCTGTGTTTTGTCATGAGCTGCCTCATGAACTTGGTAAATAATTATCTTGATGATTTTTAAATTTACATTGTAAGTATCCCTCTATTGGTTGCAGATGTTACATGATGCCCCAAATAAGCTCAGCTGGATGAAGTTTAGTGAGGGGCAGGCCCAGATTTAAAATGTGGCAGGACCACAAAGGGTTCTTAAAAAACTGGTCTGATAGTGGCAGCCAGTGTTGTATCTCTACTGACATCTGAGCTAACTACAAACAAATGATGTATTTAGCAGACATATATTGTTGGTTACTAATCTGTAACATTTATTATTTAATTATGTAATATTTATGTCAAAGATACACAGTAGTGTGGAAAGGGAGTAGTTTGGGTAGCCTGGGGCTAGTGCACTTTTCCATCGCGCTGGTAAATTCTGTTCTTAACTTGCCTGATGGGCAAGAGAAGATTATTGGGAAATTCAATTTGTTACAGAAGAACTGTAATCAATTGTGCGTGTCAAAATTTATTTTCACGCCAATTGAAATGACTTTTGGGTTATTACATGCAAGCTATACGTAAACTGACTTTCTCTGCACCCTGATACATCACCTGAATGTTGCATAGGATTATTATAGAATTGGCCAGAGCTGAAAGCGAAGCTCCCATTTATGCATTTTAAAATTACTTGAGGCAATGGAATTTTAGACCATTGCAAAGAAATCCACAAATCTATGCTTAGCTTTAGGGGAGAACCATGTGACTGAAAAACATAAACTTTAGTCTACTATCAATTAAAAGCTAACAACTGGTCAGCGGAAAACTTCAAAAAGGCGCGTGCCCTCAATGAGTTGGCACCTGAGCCCGTAATACGGTCATGTGACTCTGGTCAGCGGATACCTTGTTTTGACAGCTGTCAATTGACCATAATATGGATGTCTATTATCAAGTTAAATACCGGTTAGAGGCATTTCACATTGGTTTTCCTGTGGCGCGGACGGACGGACGCACGGTCACGTGATGACCAAAATTTCTTAGCTGGACGGGATAGATTACCAAATTTTCTTAGGTATGGGGCTCTGCTCACGCGCGCGTGGAGCTCCGCAGAAAAGACCACTGGTTTTTGTATTAATCATGACGTTAAATAAATTGATATTTGTGCTGTACCAGTATTTTAAAGTTTTACAGCCTGGAAGTAGTGTTATTATCACAGAATGGTTTTAATAAAACTTAAGTCAATTTTTTTTTCTTTCTCCTTGTGTCACAGGGGACTTTGCAGTTTTACTGACAGCTGGCATGACAGTCAAGATGGCATTGTTAGCCAACTTGCTTTCTGCCTTGTCTTGTTATATTGGCTTAGCAATTGGTATTTACGTTGGTCAAGAAGCTGATGTGCGTTTCTGGATATTTGCTGTTGCTGCTGGAATGTTCCTTTATGTCGCATTGGTGGACATGGTAAGAGTTTTAGGAGTATCGATAATGAGATGGAAAGTCTCTTCTTGCTGTCCATTTCCCAATGGACAATTTAGGATGAAACAACGTTATGGGTAGACCGCAAAACAGTCCGTATTTTTGCGTATGCATGTACGTGCGAGTAGTCGAGAGAGGCTGAAAACGGAGAGCGAGACTGGGGAGAGACGCTAAAAATACGTTTTTCTTTTCTCTCGCATCACACGCCTCACAGGTGAGGCTCTTGATCCACGCTAAACCGATTTTGAGAAAGTGAGAAAAAAAACGGCTGTTTTGCAGTCTACGTTGTGTGGTTCCTGAGCTATTAAACAAATGTGTTGTTGGATGAGGCTTCAGTGATATCCGGAGTAAGGTTATCGTCCGTGGTTGTCATGGAAGTCACCGAAAAGATCTTTTCGTGACATACCCTGTAGCTGTTCTTGGGCCAGTAGGTAGTTTTCCATTGAAATCCCTTCGTTTCGATGGCGCAACTTGGCAGTGGTTCGCAGGGGTAGTTCTCGCTCATCACGTTACCATGGATACCTCCTTGCCGTAGCCCCGAATTCCGAATCCCAACAAATTGTAAGGGGAATGAGTACAAGCTTTCGCGCAATGATTTCTAAGATCCTTTGGGTGGCATTGCATTGCATATGATTGGTTAAAGGCTGCTTTGAACACCATCGAGCAATCATAACTAACACTTGTCTATCCACGACATCAGAAATCACTGTACCCAAAGCTTGTGCCCATTCTCCCTAGGTTTTCTTAAGTGGGTTATGGTACTCAGCAACTTCTGAAGCCCTTTTTCACAGCTCATCTTCGGTGATGACATTAATTGATAATTTTTATGTTTTTTTTTTCTTGATCACAGCTTCCTGACCTGATGCACAGCGAAACTCTTCAAGCAGAACCTGTTGCTACGTTCTTGTTACAGAACTTCGGTTTGGTCCTTGGATTCGGGATTATGTTGATAATTGCGCTCTATGAAGAGGACTTAATGGCAATTAATTTCTAGCACAACTTACATATTATGTGTTAGTGTTAGTGAGTGGAGGCACGTTCAGACGAAAAGGGAAGGGAACTAGCAGCAAGATCGCGAAATAATTGGGGAAGATAAGTTGGTTTAATTTTAGTGTTTTAGAAGTAGCCTGTTGGATACCCTTGTCCCAGAGGTTTTTCTTGAAAGTTTTCTCCATGTGAAAGAGAACGAGCTGCGCGAAGCGATAAAGACTAGTCGCGACTACCAAGTTAAAATTTTCCTCTAAAGCTACTTGCAAACGGACGCAACAACTCCCAGTATTGTTGGCAGCGAAACGTTTGACTGGTTTCAAACTTTGGGCAACAACAGCATGTATAATATTTTGGAAAAATAAATTCTTTCTCTGGTATAGAGACAGACAAAATTTACCAAAAAACGAACTACGGCTAAAGATATCCTCATCGTCCCATCGTTAGTCCAAATTATACGAACCAATCAAATTGATTTTGGTGTTTGTAAAATTATCAACCAATCAGCGTCCAACGGTCGGCACACTCTGGCCCTTTAGTTTCCATAAAAGTGAGATTCCAGTGCAAGGTAACCAGAGGGTTTTCTCTTGCTTGTCGCTTTACAACTTCTTTTCACCTCTCCGAGCGTCTCGTTCTCTATCACGCAGAGAAAATTTTCCAACAAAAACCTCTGGGACCAAGGTACTTGTTGGAATGAATTTGTATAAGATGAAGACGATTTCCCCAACAGTGTATCAACATATAAACTGATATACATGTACTACGTAAACAAATTTTTCTTTAATAAGGGCTTAGTTTTCTCACTTACATCAGCCGATTTTCTCCTGGAAAGTCACCAGGATTTTTTTTTTGTCGATTTTTTGAAAATAACTTCTTTTATTTTTATATCCTGTATAAACCAGGGTCAGATTTTATTTTTGTCTCAATCACCAGATGATGATGGCTATATTGCGATTTGTATTAGACTGAAATTTTTAATAGTTCAGTTCAGAGAAAATTTTTGTTCTTAAAAGAAGTTAGTAAAGTGGCTATTATTTATACAAGAGATGTTTCATTAGAAAGATATTATCAACAATGTTTTATTCAAGAAACTTAGTTATTTTCTAGTTATAAGTAACTGATATCACGGAGTGATTTCATTAATGCCCATTATTGAGTGGCCAAAACAAAACGAAAACAGTGAAATTAGTCGTCATTGCGGAGCGCTAATATGGCCTCGTGATGGGTTAGGTGAAATTGCTCGCTTATATTGCTAATACAATTATTAATCATGTTTAAGCGTAAAAATAAAATGTTATGTAGTATTTAATCACGTTTTAAACTTGCGTTGTGTTTGATAAAAAAGTGATATTTACAGAGTGAGAATAAAATTGATTTTTTAATATATAGAAACCAATGTGTCATCCTCCCTTAATTTCATTTAACTTTGTCCACTTCTCGGCTCGCTTCGCAAGTCGATTTATGCTGTTTCACCCCGAGCTTTTCCCCTACTACGAATCCAGGCTATAAAGCCTCAGTTTGCAGTTGTCTGTGGAGAAGTCTTCATGTTTTCTTGTCGTTTTGACCTTGGGCCGCCCGACACATCGGTTTGTACCAGTCGCTCGGAGATCATGCGATGTCGCGACTCCTTTAATGTTGGATTTTAAGTAGAATGACAAGTAGAACCTTCAATTTTGCGGGTCAGGCTGAATAGTAATCTATTCCACAACACTCAGATTCACGCTCAGTTTAAACAAGATATGGGAATAATATTGCTCAGCGCCCCCAAGCCATAATGTTCATCTTTTACTTCCATAAGCCCCACAAACATCTTATAACAATCTTATTTCCGTAGGAAATCACCCCAATCCTTACAAAATTCTCCCCAAATCTTTCCCCAAACTACAAAAAAACATATTAATTAAATTAAATGTCCAGCTATATATGAATGAATAAATGTTCCACCCAATTACTTAAGTAATTAGTGCGATTGGGTCCGATTGGGGTCTCTTCTGTGAGCGGCCGATGGAAAAACAAATAAACGCAACTCTTTAGTTGATCCTTTTAACGTCCATCACATGGCTAGAAGCCAGCTTTAGCCGAAGCTCCAGAGTAGTTTGGCAAAGCAGTATGTCGGCGAGTCCACCGAACATGGTTCATGATTTCAGATAGTTGTACCCCTGAAAGACCTAGAGTTACAGTACACCCTAGGAAACAGCTTTACCATCTGACAGGAAGCTCCTAAAAGGTTTACAACATCTTTAAACAAGCAAACATCGCCCATATGTGTCTCCACGCGCTAATATGTCCGACACAAGAAAACCAGTAGTGCAAGAAAGAATGCCAAATTTCAACCCAGAAAACCCCGAGGTTTCCCGGAATTCCCCGAGTGGAAAGCCAATCCCTGCCTCGATGGCAACGGTCACCTTTTGTGAGGTCGTCTTCAAGACTTACTTTGGCGCTGCGATGAAGTAGCCGCCACCGGTATTTTCTAGGGTGAACATCCAGAACAGCAAGACATATAAGCAGCCGACCAAGAGCAAAGGGCGGGAAACATATGCCTGGGCGTTGCATAAGGCTACCATGTTATGTCAGATCTTACGCAAAGAGATTAACGTCCGAATTTCCTGGGGAAGGACCAGATATAGAGTAGGGAAGACTATTTCCAGATCAATTTTCCATCACTAGTGAATCTAACACCATCAAGTCAAACATATGACTCGCAGAACCCCCGAACTCCTAGCCTACTGAACGTACGTTCTGCCACATAATATCACAACAAGAAGACGCCCGAAGGCGTTTACGCGGGATGTGTTGGTGTAAGTAAGAATTACCGTTATGTTGAACGGCAATGGAAAGTTGAGTAGTGTATGCAACAAATGTGTGCAGGAGAGACGGAGATGTTCTGTTAAGGGCTGATACACTAGAGGATGAGTTACACACAAGGAAATTGGGGTCAAAAATAAGGGGCACTATTCTTTTTACTAATCATTTTGACCTAGGTTGAAAAGAAAATTTGCTCATTAAGATTGACTGAGATCCCGTGGAACTTTCGAGGAAAACTGTTATGATTTCAACGAAACCGCGGTGCCCCCGGGGGGTTACGTGGGGTAATTTTTGCTGGGTATGTGCCGCTGGCCTCTCAGAGCCCCTAGACCCCATATTAGTCACTCTTGGGCAAATATGTATATAATTTTTGCGATCCCAACTTAGTCACTTCCTATTTATTTATCTACCTTATCAATCCTTTAAATAGGTCATCAAAAAATGAATTGACCCATTTTTTAATAAATTAAATGAAGAACACTTTACTTTTCACCTACAGTACAAATATCCTGGTACGTTTGCTAACCGTAAATATGAACAACTCTCTTACCCCAAAAATCCGAAAATGTGCGGCCCCATTCTAGTAACTCTTTTGAAAATGCAACCCCATTATACTCAATCCAGTCTTGAAAATGCGACCCCATCCAGCTGCATATCTCCCCATTAGCCTCTTATAAGGAAGTGTCCCCCCCGGGCCGCCCAAAACTATTATGAAATGTTCAGGACAAATGTGGATTCGGTTAGCTTTCTTGTATTTATTTTTAGTACGTGATACGTAATGCCTTGTCACGACACGAAAGACAATGCGGGATTTTATAGATTTATACCCCCTTTATACCCGATTCTAGAACAATCACAATAATAGTCGTCTCTTTTCTTTTTTATACATCGTATTTTACTTGAATAACAATCTTAGTTATGTTTTAGCCTCGCAGACACGGCAGTAAAAAAAGGTAAAAATATTTAACTAACAGAAAAGACCGACTTCAGCGATTTTTCAAAATACAAAACTATTGTTTTGCGTCGCCGACCGTAATATACGCCTGTCACAGCAAAAGTAACAATTTGTTTAGAAAAACTAACTAATGAACCATCCTAATTTGAAGGAAAAAATTTCAATGTTATTATGAAAAGCTGTTACCTATCGAAAACTGTGCAGCTTGTCACGTTCATGTGAATTCACGTGAAACGACCTTGGAACATCAATACAACGCGTGCCCGCTGCCCAGTTTAACAACATTTTCTTAAAGCTTTTTGGATAGACATACTACTCATTACCGCTTACAAGTCGACCTCAAGAGGTTTCGTAGCGAGCGGAGCGTTCTTTTTAAGCCGTGAAGCCACCGAGCGAGCTACGATTTCGCAAGTAATAAATTCTAGACATTCTTAGCTGTTTGACTGCAAATCAACAGAAACAAGAAACCAACACCAGCAAGTCGCCCGGCTGGGCCAGCTAGACAATATTTTCAGTCACCCGAGGCCAAGTCTTGCGCCGTTTGATCTAGTGCACAGCCTTTACTCGTCGTTCTCCTAGAGCTACGCTGTAATCTTACTTTTTGCTGACCCAGTATCTTTTTTCTGCTTGTGCAATCCAACCTGACTTGCACGTGATTCGAAGTTGCAGCCAATAAAAATCACACAATTTTTTCGGGACGGGCTCGGGATACGAGAAAGTTAAAAAGCAAGGCAATTTTTGACTGCGCTCGCTGGCTGACTACGTCATCCCGCGTGATAAGGTTGGGGGCTAATTGTCCATAATGTGGGGGCTAGTTGTCGGGGGGCTAATTGTCTGGGGGGGCGCGGGTTGTCCGAATACCGAAGGAAGTGAGGGGGGGACCGGGGGGTCAGAATCTCCCACTTCCCCTACTCTGTTCTCCCGCCTCCTGTACTTTTTTGTCCCTTTGTCTCCCGACTCCCGCCCTTTATTGTGTTTCTCCCGTTATCATGTAAATCACGCTGTTTGACTTCGTATTCTAATAGGGAGGGAGTGCTTTGGCCTTCAGTCCGAAATAAAAAATTGTGTTGTAAATCGAACCACTCCGCACTCTCCAGCGCGATCATTGAAGCGGCATTCCTTCGACACAAGTTTACACCACGCGGCAAAATCTTCAGTGTTTTGTGAACTACAGTCGTACGGAGCGAGCTCCCAGGAAGGTCTTCCATGGACGGATTTTTCCCCACCACACCCAAAAATACCGAGACCGATCAGAATGGTCTAGGACCTGCCTCGTACCCAGACGTCTCTCTTTCGATGAAAATGTGTGCGCAAAGGAAGGCGGGAAGGTGGTCTTTGACTTGACGACATTTGACCTGACTCGCTTTGTCGTTCTTACGGAGAATTTCGACAGCTAGCGAAACAGACGAGACACTGACACGACTGACACAGTCGCCACACACGTGTACGTGTGTCATACCATCTCATTCATGTCTTATGGGAAGGTTTCCAATTTCATAGGAAGTAAGAATTTTCGTTTATTGACTTTTCTCGGGTATAAAATTTTGCTTTAAGCCTCAGAGGACGTTAAATGGAAATGGCCGTTGTTGGGTTCGTTTCTTTGACTGGATGTAAGCAGTAACAAAATAACGAAAGCTTGCCTTTTGAATTTCCACTCCCGCTTCCCCCCATCGTAGAGATCCCGTTTCCCGCCACTTCTTCTCCCGTCTCCCGTACCCCTCCCGCCCCTTCCGGGCTCCGGCCACCTGTTCCCCCGAACAAGGAACTTAGATGCAAAAGTGTGGCGTGTGTTAACGTTTGGAGCTAAAACTGTTTAACAGCGAAACTAAAATGTTCTTCCTAAAAATTGGCGTTTTCTTATACTTGAAATTGTCTCTTTACGAGTTTGTTTTTTCACACGAAAGCCGAAATCACGTGCATTACTCGTTCAAAGAATTGCAGGACGCTGTTAATGGCGATTCCTTGAAGTCAGATGATCTACAGAGGCTATTTGACAAGCTGCATTTCTTGAACTGCACTGCAAACAAACCGAGTCCGGATTACCGAAGGGTAAGATAAGTGTTGTTGGCACAAATAGCCCAAAAAGATGAAAATTTTACACTAAAACTTAAAAGTCTTAAAGTTAACTTAGTACGGTAAAAGTTTCTAGTGAAAAATATATATCTCTGAAAACTAATTACGACGATTTTTAATGAGAAAGAGAAAAATGAAAAAGTAAAACTAAGCTCAAATTACGATGAGATTATGGGATTACTGAATTCTTTTACCCGTAAGACCGATCGATCTTCGAAGCTACCCTTTCTCAATGTCTTCGACCACGCGGTTTTTCATTATTTGCATTCACTTTCACGCTTTGTTCTTTTAGTGTTTCAGCCCTATAGAATTGCACGATATTCATGGATCCTCACCGTCAAAAGCCTTAAACTCCTCGGAGTTTGTAGAGATCAGTCCTTCGATTGTTTACTGCCTTTTGCCAGGGCGTGAAAAGAATTCTGGTCAACAACGTTGCGATTCTCCCAGGAACCACAGCGAACTTTTCGACTCGTTTACAAGGAATTTCAGTCATGGCGAACACGGGATCACTCACGAAGCTCTCGATGAAATTCTCGAGGAAATAAACAAGACGATCGGGGACTTTTTAACTGAAAAGAAGGTAGGTGAAATTTAAGGATAAAAGCAGTCTTGGGGTTTTAAAAAAAGGTCGATTTGCTCCCTCTCAATCAATTCCCTTTCAAAATAAACTTTTTATTAAGGTGGCCCTAACCTATTTGTATGCGTGTTGGTTATATATGTGTGTTTTTCAGAATGAAAGATTCAACCGATTTCTATGATTTTTGGCCTACCAAATAAATAATGATGGAACTTTAAGAAAATGTTATTTGTTTTCTTGTAGGTATAAAAAAACCTTTGAGATACGGCATATATTGAAACCACATTTTTACTAACAATGTAAATAGCTTCGAAATCCCTCGACAGATTTTTCCCTAACTTCAGCAAATAAGCATTAGAGCTCTCTACTTTTACATCACTTGCCATCACATTCGTACGGGAAGTTTACCTTGCTTATATGTTCCATCACTGATATTATCTGAGATTTTATTCCTCTCTTTACTGCTGCCAATTATTTCAACATGACGGTGTCCAAGAAAGCTCTTGCCACTTTGGACACTGTACACAAATGAACTTAATGTCTTTTAGTAATTATTATTTGTCAGCTTCTTTTTTTCCTACCTACGTATACTTATGTAAATATCTTATACAGTGTGAAATAAAGAATTGAATTGAATTGAATTGAATTGGGAATAAAGATGAAGACAAATTTGACAATCATCTTATTCTTCACATTATCGCCAACAGCCAACTGCCCGTGCGAATGTGATGGTAAGTCTTAAAAGCGCGAATAAATTACCAAATGCAAGGGTTTCAATGCAGCTGAAAAAATGGATGGTTAGAAGTACTGGAGTTGGTAGCCTTATTTCTCTTCAAAACAGGAACCTGCGACACTTGACAGTTTTTCGTAGAAGCGATATTTTGCTTTCATTGTTAAGATTTGTTTCCAAAAGAGAGGGACAAATACAAATTAAGTTTGATGAATAGAAGTTCTTCAATATCACCGCGCACTCAGCTTAAAATTGTTCTTCTTAAATTGCTAACTGTATTCGCCGTAAGTTTCTGATTACTCTGTTTCTTGCAATAAAGCTTAAGGTAGGAATATCCTTTCAGGTAGGAGATAGTCTGTTGGTAGTCTTCCTCTGTTTGTCCGTCAACTTTCACAAACGTGTTAGCGTAGCATTGTAAGGTTAAATTTGACCAGCATTTTGTGTAGCAAGTTCTACGGTCACGATTGCCTTCAAACTTGCAGATGTAAAACTAGAGAGCTCTGAGTCGAGGCTTATTTGCTGAATCATGGGATTTCGAAGTTATTTACATTTTTCTTAAAAATGCGGTTTTAAATGTATGCCGATATCTCAACAGTTTTTATACCTACAGGAAAATAAATAACATTTTCGTAAAGTTCTGTTATTGTTTATGATTTAAGGATGCCAAAAATCATAGAAATCGGTTGAATCTTTCATTCTGAAAAATGCAAATGAAAAACGTAACCAACATGCATATAAATAGGTTTGGGCCACCTTAAGCTTATATTATCCTGTGAGCAAAGGTTTCTTTCTGGCATGGCTTTTAACATTTACGAAGCCGTTTAACCAACTATGCGACTGACAAGCTACGTGAAAGACTTCAAAAATGTTAAGATTTTAAAGATTTATAGATGTCAAGTTTAGCATTTGGTATATGCTGGACTCAGAAAACGAAACCATGTTTTGTGACACTCAGAAAGTTTTTCAGCTTCGTCTTTCCTCTTTCCTCTTTCCTACTGCCGGTCATTTAGTGTTTCGAAAATCTAAGTTAATTAGTTTAGAAAAAAAAATGAAAATCATTGTCTGAAGTTTATGTTCTCCATAAAAAATGAAAATGGGAAGTTTCATGTCGTAGCTGTGCGACAAGGGGAAGGAAATGTACAATAAAGGTGATGGTCATGCAAAGTTGTTGTTTTACTGATCCAAACCTATTGCTTTTATGCCATTCTCGTTGCCGTCGCGGTCGTTGTTGCTTAAGCTCCCTATTAATAGACCTAATATACTGATCTACATTTTCAGTTAACCTTATGGACACCAAAGGGACAGAGCCAAGTGTGTCTTAATTAGAGATGTGTCTAAGTTTAAGAAAAATGAATATCTTGTTTCAAAGATTATATGTAGGCCTTAAGATAGGGAGAGTGGAGCTACAAGTTTGTAAACAAACTGAAGAAAACTTAGATGTAATTCAACAAGTACTCATTATCTGGGCATTGCCAAAATAGAGTTTTCGAGATTGCTTGTTTTGATTCAAAGTTGCAATCGGCATGCAATACCAGTGAACATAGACAGGCCAAGCGACGTGAATATTTGCCCTGTGAACGATTTGTACAAGGTGTGCAGAAAGCATGTTAGAAAGAAAGTTCTGGTAGGAGGGTACTTGATCCCACTTTTATGTTCTCAAAAACCTTGCAGCAAAGAAAAACAATTCCCAACAGTACATATTCCCAACATATTGAATAAACACTGAGTGAAGCAAACTATTGAATGATTTGAATTTCCCGCTGTAAAATAATATTGTCCTTGAAGCAAAAGGTATAAATGTTTTTCCTCCAGACCAAAGGAACCAGTCATTGCCCTTTTTCATTGTACAGACTATTCATTGCTAGTAAGCACATGTCCCCTTAGAGGATGATTTTTTGCTTGGAAAAGATGACCTTATTTATCTTGAGCTTATGGTATTTTTTTATCGCATCTAGAAGCTTGGCAATTTTTCAGAAATTTGAGGTAAATCTGTCAAAAATGAGAATTGACGGGCTTGGCTGAGAGCAACAGAGGAGAGCTAATTAGTTCTAGGGGCGAATAGAGTAGACGGAAAAGAAATGCTTACCGTGCAACTACTTGAACCGGGGCACTTTAGAAGAAGATTGTCCTGAATCACTATGATTTTTGAAAACAAAAGATTCCCAAGTTTTTTTGCAAACGAACCAATAACATTCATGAATATGAGGGCTGTTTCCTGAGATGTCAGGTAAGTTCAAATGGTTTTAAAGTTTTCAGCGGTTGCATACTAGGTGAATCTTAAATTTTATTGGCCTGTTTGCAAAATAACTTGAGAATCCGTTGTTTTCAGATATCGTTATGATTGGAGAATCTTCTTCTAAGTGCCCTTGTTTGACCAGTCACACTGTAACTGTTTCATTGTGGGAACCACAAAACAAATGGGGTATTCTCTACAGCCTTACATGTATTTTTTTAAAATACTATAATTTTAACATTGCTATCAGCAGCATATTAGGAATGAAATATTAACACCTGCCAAATCACCAAGTCTAAATCTTCACAATCAGCAAACTACTGAATCACAAAGTCTAAATGCTATCAAAGATCTAATATTCTTCTTTACTTTACCAGTGTTTTTCAGCAGAAGACATTTTTAAAGAGATAGAAGAGGGAGAGGAGGAAGGCCATCATCACGAGGAACGTGAACACAGCCATGAAGAAGAAAAGGTTCTTAATCAACATGATTTTGAGAAAGCCTGTGCCAGCATTATCCTGCACCTAGTTAAAGGATACTGTATCAAGGAAGGTCATGGACACGACAAGACCAAACCTGATCTACCATCAAGAGAATTTTTCATCCAAGAACTTTTCGATCACAAAAAGTACCTTTCTGAAGAAGACTTAGAAAACATCGCTGAAAGTCTTGGTATTGGAAAGAAATCCTCTCAGTCAACAGCCTCATCTTCAAGTGAAAGCCATGATGGGCATAATCACAGACGCCGAAGGTCTGCTCCATCTGCTGTGTCATCACAGGAGGAATCAGCTGCATCTCATACCCTTCATCGCCGCACACTTGATTCTCATGCACACACTAATGGTGGAAGTAGTAGTGTAGGTGTTACTCTAACATCAAGCCCCGTCCTTACCCCTATACAGTGTATTAGCTTATTTACGCTTAGGGTGCATTCCATTGGTATGATCCGGATCAGGATCAGTTATCTGAGATCAGTCAGGTCAGAGCCCATCAAAGGAACCCATGAATTCACCCCGGGAAAGGATTCATTGGTTCTTTTGATCTTGATCCAGATCATTCCAAAACAATCTTATTAAACTTCATGAATCCTATTTAAACTTTAAGGTACCTTTATAAATTGAGTTTGATCAAACTTGATAGTCATTCTTGAGACAAAGTCCTCCCCCTCCCCCCCCCCAAAAAAAACCCTTAAGACAGATGGTTTTTGAGTCACTTAAATCTTTCTCAAGTGAATTTTTTAACTTTCTGAGTTCAATGTGTTATACAGTAAAGGAACTTCCATGTTTACTGAGGGATTTGTATACTTGACTGAGTAAAATACTTAGTAAGTTCTCACAGTAATTAACGGTTAACATGGCTATTTTAAACGACACCCGCCTTTATTACTTTAAAAACCAGCAATAATTCCCAGTTCTTTGAAAAGAACTTGAAACTAGTACACTGTACTGGTATGACCTTTAGATAAATTTTTAGATTGTGCTTTGTCTATTATATCTATACATAACAGCCTTTTTAACTTGCTTTCAGCCTTAGCTTTTGTAAGATTAATTCAATACATGTATTCCTGAGCAATGATCAATTTCTTGTTTCCAAAGAATATTAAAATTTAATATTTAATGTTTTGTGTTTAGTGTTACTCAGTCGATGAGATGCTGACAGTTTTTGACATTGATCACTCCATTGGGGCAGATGATTATGACTTCAAACAGCTTTGCCCTGCTTTTGTTCAACAAGCCAAGAGCGGAGCTTGCAAACAGCAGTCAAACCAACCAAAAACAGAACCAGAAAAGGATTTGGGAAAAAGTAAGTATACACACGTACACAGGTAGATGAGATTTCAGTGAAGGGCATTGAATGGTTGCGATTAGATGCAAGTGTTGATTTTGGCTGGAAGCCGAGATTTCTCATTAATTATAAGTGCTATTTTGACTCATAGTTGAAATGTTACAAAGGAAAAAATAATGAGATACTGCAAGTTGGATATCGCAAGTCAGGTTGTGGAAATTGTAGTGTTTTACCACTATTTTGAAACTGTACTGTTGTCCAGATTATGTTACACTGACCAACTGTGGTGTTCTGACTTATCTTCTAATATTGGGATTTTGTTCTCTGTTTAATAGTATCTATCCAACAAAAATCAATAGGTAAACTCATGATCTTTTTGGTTTTGTTTCTTATCTCCAGTCTGGGGTTATGGCATTGTGGCTGTGACTATAATCAGCCTTACATCTGTAGCTGGCGTGGCAACTATTCCATTTCTAGGAAAGAAGATGTACAAGAAGATCATGGCAATGTTGGTAGCTCTTGGTGTCGGAACCCTTGCTGGAGACAGCTTACTTCATCTGTTACCTCATGTAAGCCTTAACATTCCTGTTTATAAACACTGGTCCGGTCAAATATCTTTTACCTTGCTAGTTGGCACTGTCCAATAGGCTTCAAGCATTAAAGTGCATAGTCTGTGCAAATTGTTTGCATGTTTCAGGTGTGACTGTGTTAACATGAGTCTGCGTAAATGTAGAACCATACTGTTCAAAAGTTTTTTCCTACTCCTGATCAGATCAAAACCTTGCACACTTATAAAGGCCATTAAAAAACTTATGTGGTTCTGTAGGTCCCATGTAGAATGAAAGGCCAGATCTGTGCAAGATTTTTTGTTCCTTAAAAAATTTCTCCAGACCTGTGTAAACAAAGTTTTGTTGTTATAAAAGCTGCTCTGAAAACCTCTGAATGTTTAAGTTTTTCCCTTCTAGTTAGCTTTTTGTTTAAACCCTGAAAGTGGTTTCTTGTAATGATAAATTAAATAAGTCATTTTGTGGTCAGGCATTTGGTCTCCACCAACATGAAGAAACTGCTGAAGGTGACAGCCATGCTGATCATTCAGAAGAGAAGGGATTCATTTGGAAGGCCTTGGTGGTGCTGCTTTCCATTTATGGATATTTCTTGTTTGAAACTTTGATGCATCTGTGTTTGAAGAACAAATTTGGAGATCATGGTGGCCATAGCCACATTGATGTTGAGGTCAGTAATAATAGTACAATTTACTGTTTCAAACCTGAGGACTCTAAAATTACATGAGTAACATGATCCTAAGTTTTAATATATCTTTTTAATCAGTGCAACCAAAAGAATGTTATTTTTCCTTAGGAGGGGGGCATTGGGGTATCTTAGAAACCACAAAACCGAAGGAAAAAATCATCCAAAACCGCAAAACCGCAAAAAAATTCGGCCAAAACCAAAAACCGCATACAAAACCGTCGAAAACCAATACAATGGTGACAAGTGGGGCATACAGAGCAAACTAAACTAACACTAATTTCACCAAAGTATTTGTGAATGTCATGGACTTTGTCTGAAGCCTTCGTATCTTTTTGTGTCTGCTTAAATCAATTATGCTTTGTTTCTGCCGCTCTCTCGAGCCCAGACTTTGCGGCTCAATTTCCAAAAAGCCGCTAGTTATGGAGCCTAGTTAACTTAGGAGAATTTGCACACAAGTCCTCTTTAGAATTGCAATTTTGCAGTCGCAAAAAGCTATAGCTCTGGAAACTTCAATTGAAAATCTCTAATCGAACATTTCCATTTGATAACTAATTCCTGAAAGTTTGGACTATTAGGACTATTAGGGACATTAAGTCTTCGTAAACGAGCTTTATGTATGGATAAACTATAGTGATTAAGCTATTTTAATGTAAATATAATGACATTTTAATGATTGTCGATTGACTTACCAAACACTATTCTTAAGCTTCTGAGGGCTTCTCTCTTCCCTTTTCACTTTACATCTAAACTTGTTTTTCTTTCGAAAATTCTCGCCGCCTTTCCCCTCCTCGTAAAAAAACGTAACACAATCCACAATTGCTTCTTCCATTGCTGGCGTGGGAGGCACGTTGGAAGCCATAGCTCGCAAACTGACCAAATGGTCGCCCTGGTCTGCGAGGTCGAAGTCTCGCCGGGCGTCAAGGGAGACGCTTGATCCCCTACCATGACATTTATTTTGTCACGCATTCCTCTAAATTACTTTGGCATTTCGCGGCTATTCAAGATCAAGTGCTGCTCAAATCGAACAGAAACCGGAACCCAAAATAGGACAAAATAGGAAAAACCAAAAACCACATCGGGTACCAAAACCGAAAAAACGCTAGTATTTTTCATGAAAACCAAAAACCAGATGCTAAAAAATGAAAAATCCGCAAACCGCAATGACCACCAAAACCGAAAAACCGAAGTCTTTAGCAACAAAAACCGAAAAACCGATCTAAAAAATAGCCAAAACCGCAAAACCGAAAATCCCAGTGCCCCCCTCCCTTAGGTACATGTAAGTAATGCAAAATTAATAAAGAGGGCTCATTTCAATGATCATGCCATTGGATTACATAGTCAAACTCAAAATCCAAACCACTGTATATGATGCTTAGTGTAATAAACAGTACCACAACAAAGTGCTTCTCAGCTCTCAGCTTTTATTTGAACTATCGCTGACTCTTTAGTTATTTCATCCTCAGACATCAACAACCATTTTATTCCACATAGTTTAGATACAGCAGTAATTACACACTCAGTTAATAATAGACCTGTATAAGAAATCTGAAAAAACTTTCCCACTGCTAATAGCATAAAAGGCTAATCGGGGCGGGGGAAAGATGAAAACAAACTTAAGGTGATAAAATAAGACAAAACTGATTACAGAAAACTGAGATAACAATACAATAAGGTCAAATAAGGAAATTAAATGGAAAAATTTAATTCCAAAAATTCAAAGATAAATGAATAAATGAAATAAAAATAATTATTGTGCCTTCCAAGGCTAAGATAAATTGCTAAAGTAATTGAGCAAGTGAGAGACTTCAATATAGTCACTGACTCAAGCTCTAAAGTTCAAAGAAGTATTTGTTGAATTTTGTTTCGGAACTTGGATTTAACTTTAAAGTTGATATTAAAACTACTGAAAAATTAATGCTTTTGCAAACAAGTCCAACATCGTTTCTGTTACATCATTAACCATTATTTGGAAACCAAGATTACAGACCATGCATTTTAATCTAATTATACATGTGCAGGTACAGTGTTATTGTGCCATTCGCCACCTGAGAAACGAGGAGACTGGGCCAAATTAGCTTTTGCAAAGACCTCTGGGATCACACTATTCAGCTATCGGCTAGACTGCGAACAAGCTCTTAAGGGCGCTCTGGCGGCAGGGCGGGAAAAGAAGGGAGAGCTAGCAACTGTGTATCTGGAATTTGAATATCTGCATCGAAAAAGTCGATGGGAAATGTTGAGTGGTGGAGATGACATTAGTAATAATGTCATTACCCTTGGCACGTGTTTTTCATTGTTTGTTTACATTCGCACTCACTTACGCTTCACGCTGATTGGTGGAAATCTGACAGCTCAGTCGACAAGGAGCCACAGGGGAATTGGAGGTGGAATTCAAATTCCAGAGACTGAGTTGCAAGCTCTCTTTCCTTTTCCTGCCCCTCAGAGACCTTGCTGGTAGGCTAGCTGTTGGCCAATTTTTCCCCATCCCCAGTAACGATTCCAGAACTTGGCCTAGTCCCCCTCTTGTTTCTAAAGTGACAAATGGCTATTTAGTGATACAGAACACAGACCAACATGGTGGCCTGGATGTTTGATTATTTTCAAACACACAACAAAATGCCTAAGTAATTAAGAAAGTGCTGCTTTCCTTTATATTCATTTCTGGTGTCAATTGTTATAGCTTAATGTAAGCTCCATTTTTTGTACAGCTTCCTGGACCTTCAAGTCGGCACATGACCTTTAAAAATAAAAGGAAATGTTCCAGGCTGGAGCATCATGAAGGAGATCATCCACTTGGTAGAAGTGATGAAAATCTTCCCATGGAAATTGGTGACATTGTCTTAACCAACAGGGTGAGTGTGACGATATTGCTTTGTTTTAGCATCCAACCAGATTTTAGCATTTACATGTGCAAACTCAGGCTTACTTTTGTTATGGTTTGATGTAATGGCCACTCATGAGCTCACTATGTTCTGATATTTAAATAAGTTGAGGTTTAAGAATGTGAGCCAATTCTTTACATGGTGACAGAAGTGGGAAAGAAAAAGTGTAGAAGTGTAGAATACAAATCATGCGTTTATTTAATTGGAGGATATATTAATAATAAATTTAATAATACATTAATTGATCCACCAACCATGATCAAGGTTCATGATACACCAATCACTAATAACCACGCTGAGCAAAATGATAGTCCCACTCAATAAATCAACACTACTGTCTGATGAAACCCTGTACTTGATCAAAACGCCACAATCAATATCAAAGTGACCATTGTGAGACAAACAGTAAGTAAATACCTTTATAATAAAAGTAATCATAAAGGTTGTACATCTCTACTTTAGCAATAACAGTGGCTTTTATAAGGTGTTGTTTTGGTTTTTCAAATCCTGTTACTGAAAGTATACATGATTTTATATATTATCTTTTTTACATGTATATGTGGTTTGATACTCCAGTTCTCTTGGTGAAAATTAAGGATCATTAAAGAAGTCAAACTGCCAATTTGTTTTAAACTTTATAGTTCCAGTACCACCGGGCTGTCAGAAAAATATTAATCTTCCAGCTCAAGGGGTTAATAATGTTCTTATAATTTTTTTGGTCAATAATCTGGCCCATAAATCTGAATTAGACATAAAAAGTTTGATGCAGTGGCGTAAAGAATGTGACACTCTAAATTGACTGAATCTTTTGACTTAATGAAGTACGTGTTTAAAAACAATTTTTTATTTAAAATTTCTGTAATATCCAGCTTGATATACATGTATATTAGATTAATAAACCATTAAAAAAAATTTATAGCTAAAGTTCTGTCCGTGTTTTTTTTAAATGTTGCCGTTGTATGCAGTGATATCAGACAATGACATAAAATTTGTATTTTTAAGTTTATGTTATAACGTTGGTCTTCTGTCACAAAAGTATGGTTCCATAAAGAATTTTAGTAGCAGCAGCACTACAAGTCCTTCTTGTACATTACATTCCCATTGTGTTTATGAACATGTATCTGGTACAGATATTGATGATGGTGAATATGAGGTTAATGTTAAGAACAATAATACTGATATTAATTTAAATGTCATTATTAAAAACGTGTCATAAACGTGTAATTGGCATTTAAGCATCAATAAACTGATCATGAAATAATCAAAGATCAACAGACGTAACTTATGAACATCAGTTTTCTTCAAGTCATTCATGTTTTATTGGCCAGTTGCTTATCAGCTCTGAACAATTAATTCTCCCATGTCTGTGTGAAAGATTACATGTAGTCTATCTGTGATATTCAAGTGAACAATTTTCAGCAAGCCGTTAATTTCCTTTAGTTTCTACAATACTAGATGCAACACTAAATGGTAGCAAACAAGCAAATTCTCAATAATTATTTGAAATTCATCAACGTACACCAACGAAGAATGATTAAAAAGTGTATCTGTGCAGGAAACAGATCTAGACATTGTTAATGACTTTGAAACATGTGTATCATGTGAAATTATGTAATGATGAGTCACTTGAACAACCCACTACTAACACACCAGACAGACCTGGAGCACCAAGGCACATATTGAAGTTTTTGATACTTTCTCTTTTATTTGCATCTGTGTTACAATAACCAGCTTCATATCTCTAGCTCCATAAAGAGCTCAAAGTTTTTTGGAGAAGGCAACATTATTCACAGCAGCAAATCACAAAAAAGTGACCAGAACTGAAAGAGCCATTTTTCTATTTTCTTTGTTTTCATTTAAAATTTCTACATTCTGAACTGAGAATTTGTGATATTCTAAGAAAGCAAATTTCTTAATCTTGAGCAGGATATCAAAGATGGTTTTAAAGATCCCAAAGACAGAGTTCCTCAAGGTCAACAAAATACAACAGATAACCGCAAGAGAAGCCTTAAACACAGCTTATCACGCCGCTCCGTTTTCAGCGATGATGTAGAAAGAGGCAAGGCATCATTGAAAACTATTTCCACTGTGGCATGGATGATAATCATTGGAGATACTCTCCATAACATCGGTGATGGATTGGCCATTGGTGCCACTTTTGCCAAAGGTGGTAGCTCGGGTGTTTCTGGTGGAATCAGTACTTCTATTGCTGTGTTTTGTCACGAGCTGCCTCATGAACTTGGTAAATAATATCATCTTGATGATTTTTAAATTTACATTGTAAGTATCCCTCTATTGGTTGCAGATGCTGCATGATGCGCCAAATAAGCTCAGCTGGATGAAGTTTAATAAGGGGCAGGCCCAGATTTAAAATGCGGCAGGACCACAAAGGGTCCGTAAAAACCTGGTCTGATAGTGGCAGCCAGTGTTGCATCTCTATTTGCATCTGAGCTAACTACAAACAAATGATGTATTTAGCAGACATGTATTGTTGGTTACTAATCTGTAACATTTATTATTTAAATTTATCTATTTATTTATTTAATATTTATGTTAAAGATACACAGTGTGCAAAGGGAGTAGATTGAATAGCCTGTGGCTAGTGCACTTTTCTATCGGGCTAGTGAATTCTGTTCTTAACTTGCCTGATGGGCAAGAGAAGATTTTTGGGGAATTCAAATTGTTACAGAAGAACTGTAATCAATCCTGCCTGTCAAAATTTGTTTTCAGGCCAGTTGAAATGACTTTTGGGTTATTACATGCTAGCTATAAGTAAACTGACTTTCTGTTCACCCTGATACATCATCTGAATGTTGCATAGGATTATTATAGAATTGGCCAGAGCTGAAGGCGAAGCTCCCATTTATGCATTTTAAATTTACTTCAGGCAATGGAATTTTAGACCATTGCAAAGAAATCCACAAATCTATGCTTAGCTTTAGGGGAGAACCATATAACTGAAAAACAAACTTTAGCCTTCTGTCAATTAAAAGCTACCAACTGGTCAGCGGAAAACTTCAAAAAGGCACTTAACCTCAGTGAGTTGGCACCTGAGCCCGTGATACGGTCATGTGGCTCTGGTTAGCGGATACCCTGTTTTGACAGCTGTCAATTGACCATAATATGGATGTCTGTTATCGCGTTAAATACAGGTTACAGGCATTTCACATTGGTTTTCCTGTGGTGCGGACGGACGTACGGTCACGTGATGACCAAAATTTCTTAGCTGGATAGATTACTAAATTTTCTTAGGTATGGGTCTCTGCTCACGCGTGCGTGGAGCTCCGCAGAAAAGACCACTGGTTTCATGTGGTTTGGTATTGATCATGACATTATAATAGACAGCTTTATTCAGGGCTAAAAGCGAAGCTCTGGTTAATAATACTTGTAAACACAAAAAAAAATTAAATCGTGTAATCCTAAACGGGGAGGGCAATGAAAATGGCATCAAGATCGATAGATCTAATTAGCAAAAAAACAAATTGCACTTGCAGCACACTTTTTTTTCTAATTAGCAAAAAAGCAAATTTGCAGGTGCAGCACGCTTTTTGTCTTTCTTTGCCGTTGTTTTGCACAACTACAACGTTGTTTTGTAAGACTAAAACGTCAAACTTCCTTGATACACATTATTTTTATGGAGAAATTGTCGTATGTGCTTACCCAATGGTTTGTCTCCTGTGTTCATGTTCGCTTTTATTTTTCACTGCCGCTCATTTTCGGTTTGCTGGCCGGTAGCATTTCTCATTGTCTCACAGCCGCTTTGAATTTTCATGTTTTTCTTCCTACAAAATTCATCTCTTTTGTTTTCAATCACTCGCTCTAGCTCTTTCTCTGTTATCCACGTGAGTGTTATGCCTGTGGTGCGGACGGACGGTCGGTCGGTGTACGGTCACGTGATTACCAAATTTTCTCGGATGGGTAGTTTATCACATTTTTTTCCCATGGTGTTCCGCTGCGCGCTTCGCGCGCGAGAGCAACGCTATAAATTGATAAAGGAAGGCATTTGTTCTGTAGCAGTATTTTACATTGCAGGAAGTAGTGTTATTATCACAAAATTGTATTAATAAAACTTAAGTCAATTTTCTTTTCTTTCTCTTGTGTCACAGGGGACTTTGCAGTTTTACTGACAGCTGGCATGACAGTCAAGATGGCATTGTTAGCCAACTTGCTTTCTGCCTTGTCTTGTTATATCGGCTTAGCAATTGGTATTTACGTTGGTCAAGAGGATGATGTGCGTTTCTGGATATTTGCTTTGGCTGCTGGAATATTCCTTTATGTCGCATTGGTGGACATGGTACGAGTTTTGATAGTGAGGTCACTTTAATAGACCTTATTCACGATACCCATTGTGCGCATTAGATTATATTCAAGTGCTATTTTGTGCCATATTATTATAAATAACAAATTATTATTATTATTACCACAGGTAGCCCAAGCTCACTATGAGAGCCGTGAACAACATTATCCTACTTTGCTAATTAATTATTCATACAGCAAGAAAATTATAAGACGTTGTATGGAGAAATATTCTTTGCTCGCTAAATTAGCAAAATGTACATTGAATATCGCTTTGTAGCTTACCTTTAGCGTATTCTTGTTTTTCTTTGTATTCTGACTGCATTTCAGACCTCCTAAGCACTGTTTAAGGCCTTTTTTGGAGCGACAGTTTTTCACCCAGATGACAGTCGAGAGAAGAGAAGACTTCGTTGGCGATTTAGGACCTTCGAAATGGGAATTTTGGCGATGTGAATGATGGAAAATGTGCGTTATTTATCAGGACATCTGTTTCTGGCGGAATTGTCTCCATGTCGCAAGTGTCACGGAATTTATCGCCTCCGAGAGCGGAGCCGGTCAAGAGAGGTTTGCCAACCTTCTCTTCTCTTCTCTCGACTGTCATCTGGGTGAAAAACTGTCGCTCCAAAAAAGGCCTTAAACAGTGCCTAGGAGGTCTGAAATGCAGTCAGAATACAAAGAAAAACAAGAATACGCTAAAGGTAAGCTACAAAGCGATATTCAATGTACATTTTGCTAATTTAGTGAGCAAAGAATATTTCTCCATACAACGTCTTATAATTTTCTTGCTGTATGAATAATTCATTAGCAAAGTAGGATAATGTTGTTCACGGCTCTCATAGTGAGCTTGGGCTACCTGTGTTATTACCCGCCATCTTTGCATGCGCTTAAGGACTGATGGGATAAAAGCGATGTCACGTGGTTTCTCAGGGGACAAACAAGTGATAATTTTTTCCAGTGCTCGAAATCGCGGTCGCGTTTGTTTATTCTTGACAACAGAAAATGAACAACTTTTTATATTAAAGACGATAATGGCAAATTATGGGTGGAAGTGAACATTTTCACTTTTTCGGATGCAGTAGCGACCGTAGATGTCCTCACAGCAAGCAATAGTGACGTTAATTTTGTCGAAACTCAAATCGTACATTTTGCCTAACTATTAAACCGTCATCTCGTTTTGAGAGAATAAATAAAGTCGACCGGGATTACTCGCATTGACACATTTAAGCCCCTGAAATACCACGTGACATTGCTTTTATCCCATCAATCCTAAGGGGCGAGCAAAGATGGCGGGTAACGTAAATAATGTCTTTTGTGGAAAGTCTGTTATGGCTGTTCATTTCCCAATGGACAACTTAGGATGAAAGAACGTTATGAGTAGACTACAAAGCAGTCCGTATTTTTGCGTTTGTATGTACGTGAAGTCAAACAAAAGGTCTGGAGCAAGGCTGAAAACGGAGAGCGAGACCGGAAAGAGACGTTAAAAATACGTTTTTGTTTTCTCTCGCATCACACGGGCGTGTGAGGCACTTGAACTACGCTGAACCGATTTTGAGAAAAAAAAAACGACTGTTTTGCAGTCTACGTTATGGGGTTCCTCAGCTATTAGAGACCTTAAGATCGAGGGTTTTCAGCATATCTCGCGAAAAGGAAGCGTCAAGAAGTCACGTGACTAGTGCCTTGCCGGCAGGTTTGCGGTTTGAAGTTTACGTTTGTACGGCTAGATCACGCTCAAGAAGTAAATGAGTTACCACAGGGTTTTTTTGCACTCCAAAACATCACAATCTGAGTTTGAGAGAAAATACTCCTTTTTAGAACTCTTTCTCTAATTAATTATTGAACTATTTTTCATAGAAAAGTAACTTTGAAGACGATTTCTCAGCTATAATAAAAGTGTACGAAGGAATAAAAACAAACATGACAGCCGCAAGCTACCACCCGCGAATCTTGTTTCCTAAATATGGGCAGACAGATATCATGAAACCAATAACCGCAAACCGCGGTTTGTCGTTTGTGGTCTCCATTAAACAATTTATTATTGGATGAGGTTTCAATGACATCCGGAATAGTGAAGTTCTCGGTAAGGTTATCGTCCGTGGTTATCATACAAGTCACGTGAAACAACTTTTTGTGACATACCCTGCAGCTGTTCTTGGGCCAGTAGGTAGTTTTCCATTGAAATCCCCTCAACTTGGCAGTGGTTCGCAGGGGTAGTTCTCTCTCATCACTTTGCCATGGATACCTCCTTGCCGTAGCCCCGAATTCCTAATCCCAACAAATTGTAAGGGGAATGAGTACAAGCTTTCGCGCAATGATTTCTAAGATCCTTTGGATGGCAAAGTATTGCATATGATTGGTTAAAGGCTGCTTTGAATACCATCGAGCAATCATAACTAACCCTTTTCTATCCTAACGACATCAGAAATCACTGTGCCCAAAGCTTGTACCCATTCTCCCTAGGTTTTCTTAAGTGGTTTATGGCACTCAGCGACTTCTGAAGCCGTTTTTCACAGCTCATCTTCGGCGATGACATTAATTGATAATTTTTATGTTTTTTTTTTTTTTAACACAGCTTCCTGACCTGATGCACAGCGAAACTCTTCAAGCAGAACCTGTCGCTACGTTCTTGTTACAGAACTTGGGTTTGGTCCTTGGATTCGCCATTATGTTGATAATTGCGTTCTATGAAGAGGACTTAATGGCGATTAAGTTCTAGCACAACTTACATAATATGTGTTAGTGTTAGTGAGTGGAGGCACGTTCAGACGAAAAGGGAAGGGAACTAGCAGCAAGATCGCGAAATAATTGGGGAAGATAAGTTGGTTTAATTTTAGTCTTTTAAAAGTAGGCTGTTGGATACCTTGGTCCCAGAGGTTTTTCTTGAAATTTTTCTACACTAGTCGCGAGTGCCAAGTTAAAATTTTCATCTAAAGCTACTTGCAAACTGACGCAACGACTGCCAGTATTGTTGGGCAGCAAAACGTTTGACCGGCTTCAAACTCTGGGCAACAACTCTCAACAACACGCAACAACAGCAAGTGTAAAATTTTGGAAAAATAAATTCTTTCTCTGGTACAGGCAAAATTTACCTGAGAACGAACTACGGCTAAAGATATCCTCATCGTCCCCTCGTTAGTTCAAATTATACGAACTAATCAAATTGATTTTCGTGTTTGCAAAATTATCAACCATTCAGCGTCCGATGGTCGGCACACTCTGACCCTGTAGTTTCCATGAAAGTGAGATTCAAGTGCAAGGTAACCAGAGGTTTTTCTCTTGCTTGCCGCTTCACAGCTTGTTTTCATCTCTTCGCGTGTCTCGTTCTCTATCACGCGGACAAAAATTTCCAAAAACATCTCTGGGACCAAGGTACCTGTTGGAATGAATCTGTATAAGATGAAGACGATTTCCCCAACAGTGTACCAGCATATAGGTAATATAGATGTACTACGTAAATATATTTTCTTTAATAAGGGCTTGGCTTTCTCACATACGTCAGCCAATTTTCTTCTGGAAAGTCACCAGAATTTTTTTTATTTTTAGATTTTTTGAAAATAATTACTTTGAGTTGTATATCCTGTATAAACTAGGGACTGATTTTATTTTTGTTTCATTTACCAGATGATGGCTATATTGCGATTTGTATTAGACTGAAATGTTTTAACGGTTCAGTTCTCAGAAAAGTTTTGTTCTTAAAAGAAGTTGGGAAAGTGGCTATTATTTTTACCAGAGATGTTTCATTAGAAAGAAATTATCAACTCAACAATCAAGAAACTTCGTTATTTTCTAATTACCAGTAACTGATATCACGGAGTGATTTCATTAATGCCCATTATTGGGTTGCCAAAACGAAACGAAAAGAGTGGAATTAGTCGTTATTGCGGAGCGCTAATATGGCCTCGTTATGGGTTATGTGAAATTGCTCGCTTATACTGCTTATACAATTAGTATTCATGTTTACACATAAAAATAAAGTTTACGTAGTATTTAATCATGTTTTGAACTTGCATTGTGTTTGATAAAAACGGAGCGAGAATAAAACTTATTTTTTACCATATACAGCTTTTTCGAGAAAGGTTCTCAGAAAAAGTGCACTCGACAATCCCGAAAGGTATTGCGGGTGGTTTTTAGTTCACTGTTCTTCAAAGAAATATGAAAGAGTGGCATGAGAGGCTATGGAGGTATGTTTATGAGCTGCTTAAATGAAAGCTACAAAAGTAAATTCGACAGCTGCAGTCGTTAGGAAAAGTGTATAGATCATATCCCATATCGCCTTTCGGGACTGTCGCGTGGACAATTTTTCCTACAACCTTTCTCGAAATGGCTGTATAAACTGACAGTGTGTCATCCTCACTTAAACTTCGTTTAACTTGGACCTCTTCTTGGCTCGCTTCGCTAGCCGATTTATGTTGTCTCACCCCGAGCTTTCCCACACTAAGGAGCCTGGCCCCAAGCTTTAAAACCTCAGTTTGCAATTGTCTGTGGGCGCGAAAGCGAGAAGACGACTTCATGTTTTCTTGGCATTGTGACCTTCACCGCCCAGCTCATCTTGAACTCCTTTGCTGTTTGATTCTAAGTAAAAGCCGCGTAGGACCTTCAGCTTTGCAGGTCAGACTGAATAGTCGCTGCAGGTAAGGGAATCCGGAAATTCCGGAATCGGAGAAAATTTTGCTTGTGGAATCTGGAATTCTGGGCTTTGGAATCCAGAATACAGCCCAAGTAATCCGGAATCCAAGTTCCACAGAAAAGGCTGGAATCCAGAATCCAAGATTGTCTTGGATTTCATACACATAGGTGATAATAGGTTTTTATGTGTTTAATGTATAACGCGAACAAGTTCTTAAATGGGTTGTTATCTTCTCAAAGAGTTACGAAGGTCGTGAAAGTTCGAACAAGATGTATAACATAGGTGAGGTCTAAAAGATTCATGAATTACTACTCAATAGTGAATGCAGTAAATATCACTCAAAAATATTAAGTAGTATTTCATAATTGGTTAGACTTTTCAATAGTTCGTTTGGTTATCGTTCAGGAGGGAAAACGATCAACTCGCGATTTCCGTCGCTCAAAACTCACAAGGGGTTATGAGTCTCTGGTTTCATATATCTTTCCGAATTTATGTAAACATGGCTTCACTGAGTCTCTTGAGGCCCTCAGGCAAGTATATGTCTTTGGTACCAAGAATTCACCCTCCCCACCCAAGAGACTCATGGCTGTCTGCTCACCCCCATGAGCTCCGCAATTATCATGATAGTTATAATTATTATCAGCAGAGTCCTCATTGAGCTGGCTCAGGCAAAGGGGGAAACAAGTTAGCCTCTGGTATGGGCTCCTGTTTTTACTAAGAGGGTGGAGTCGAAAAACCCCTTCCTCAGTAACACCGCAGTGGCCTGGAGCAGGCGAAAACCTACTGGCCAAGTTCTATCCATCTATCCGTCTATTTATCCATCCATCCAGCCAGCCAGTAAATCAAAGCAAAGAACACCCAAAGTGAATCTCTGAGAGATCACTGTTTTTCTGTTGTTAATCTCTGATGACTATTTTAGGTATACATGTGGTGTTGATCGAAGCAATAAAGGTGAAAGTTGAATGATTTGTCTTTTTTCTTTTTTCTTCCTCTTCAGCCACAAGTGATTTTCCGTGGAACTGTGCTGGAATTAAATGTTGGAAACTAAAAAATGAGTTCAGCCATAATTTTCTTTGTCTACACTATTAGTTTATAACACCACTGAACAATCCAAGTTCATGTTGATGTGCAGTCTACTACGTTCATTTCCTAGTTATTTTTTTGATCTATTTATGATGTAATTGGGAGGCGAAGACGATTGAAAATGCATGGTATCCGCGGATCTCTGGCAAAATTATTGACGTTCGCGATCGGAAATTGCTTGTTTCAGTCGACGCAATATCGATTAAAAATAATTTTCTTTTACACTCTTACATTTCTTTTTATGAGACGGAAGTCACGCGACCTATCATATGACTTTGGCTAACAGTAAATCCCAGTCATTCGTAGAAATCTTTGTAAGCACATACGGTCAGTTCATTTTCAATTTCCTTGAAACTTCCTCGTTCAACACTAAAGGAACACAACTTTGGAGACTTATCGCATTGCAGTTTGATCTTTGCCGCTGAGAGAAACATACCAGACTGCTGGGCGATTAATAGGTGTTGCAAATACGTAAGTACGCCGTTTGTACCATTTACTGATATTGAAGTGCTTCTGAGAGTTTTATATTTTTATCAAATAGTTAGAAGACCACAACGATCACTAGATGTCGTAAAGTTCAGTATGAGTTAAGTATCAACGTTTTAGTAGAGTCTGATTGGAAATACTATTTTCATGTTAAATGTGCCAGTCGGCTTGGGAAGATCAAGAGTTGCCTAAATTCGCTTCAGGAACAAAGCTTGTATTGATAAAGTAGACTAATAGTGCAAGCTTAGTGTTGATACATGTACAGTGACTTGTATAAAAAATTTCCGAACTTTGAATTTCTTTGTAGAGCTTAATTTTGAATTCTGGTTTGTGTGATGAAATTCTGAATTAATTTGAGAGCCCAAAGGTCTGAAAGAGGCTTTCCTTGTGTGGCCGCTGCTTGAGAATCTTACAAAAGTAGACAACATATTATTCACACAGGAAGTCTTCGCTTTCCCGTCGAAACAAAGCGAGGCACGGTTGTGGCTGATGTTCTTCATTCGTCGAAAAGTCAACTTTGAACGGACAATTATAGGACCCCTAGACCACTGTTGTTTCTTTCTGTAGACGTGTAAATCCTCGGTAGCAGGGATCTTATTATCCATGAGCATTATTATGATTATTTTAGTGAATTGCGTGAATTAAACGTTATCGCGTGAATTAGCGTCCGTTCAATATCAGGCGTTTGGCACTATACTAAATATTTTGCGGGCTCTGCTATTTTTCCGGTTTTTTGCTCTTTAAACCATAAGGCACGTTTAAATGCGTTGCATAAAAAATATCAGTTTACAGAAAGATGAGAATCGATAAAATTGCACATAAACACATTCCTATTAGCTCGCTGCATATCTTTTTACAGATCTCTTCAAATGGTAGATTAAAGTATCTCGACTGGATTTTTTAGGGGGGATACCTCCCAAGTTTGAGTATTAACTAAGTCAGCATGAGTAAAGATATGGGAAAATGGTTACCACAACTGTATTATATAAAGATAAAAATTTCTTATGATCTGGGTTTTATTGCAATCGGAGTAGCTATGGTAACGTAATGAGGCCATTACGGTTTTTATTTATCTTTGTGTTTCTCTGTAGTAGGAATTTTTTTAACAAATCGCTTAAGGGAGTATGTACCTGCAATAATTGCCTCAATTATGGCAAAGGTTGAACAAATTCTATGCGAGCGTTTTAGAAATATTTTGAAACGAAGTTTTAAGAATCATAAAAACAGTGAAATATCATGCTATCCACACAATGAGCTAATAGTTTAGGAAAATGATAAGCCTTGGAAACGCAGCTTCATCTCATAGTGGTTTGATTCCATTGAAAACTGCGTACAAAAAAAGAGGGGAATTACTTTGGGCGATCGCGAGTTAGAAGAATGTTATTAACTTGTATTCAGCTGCTTTTGTTTTCTCCCGACAATGATGAGTACCCAAAACTAACTAACCACCTATTTTTTCTCTTGCACATTTTTCATCAGATCCCAATAAAAATGGAATACACTTTGGAGCAATTGAACTATTTTAGAGCCTCGTACATCGCCTTCAATTTAATCCCTGAAGGGCTTCGAACAGTCTTCAAACAAGAGTGGGATTTCCTTTACGAGGCAACAGCGTTTGGGAAATGGAAGGACACCCCCAAAAATGGCCTCGATTTCTACAACACAGAACCACCAAGGAGCCAAACCAAAAATACTCGACTTTTAACGACAATACAAAGGGGAAACACTGCAGAGTGGGACTGCAGTTGTCTATTTTTTGCAATATTATTCTCGAACACTATTGGCAATACATTAAGTCCAGGAATAAGAAAAGAAGTTGACGATCTTCGACAATTTCGAAACGATATCGCTCACAGAAATGAGGCCGAACTTACCAATGCTGAATTCTATAATTATGTTGCAAGAGTGTTAGCTGCTTTCACATCATTGAAACTTCCAATTAATGAAGTTGATGATATTAAAAACCAGACTGACTTTCCCACAGCCGAACTAAATGCTCTGAAACTACAGGCAGATAGCCTTAGAGCTGACTTACAAACGAAAGAGCAAGAAGCCAAAAATCTGACCTCAGAATTACAGACGAAGAAGGAAGAAGTTGAGACCCTAACTCAGGAAATTAATTCCAAAATTGAGTCGTTTTGTACCCTTACATTCAAGCCATCACATCCGATCATCAGACGCTTAAACGATGTCGCGAGAATCATGAAAAAACTGGAAGAACTACAAAATGAAAGCAAAGGAGCCATCAGCACCGTTTATTTATCAGGCATTCCGGGCTGTGGCAAAAGTCAAATTGCTCGTCAACTGGGACAGGAGTTCTTTGACAAGAGGTTGCATGAAAGCAAAGGCCTGACATTTGTAGCGACCCTTAATGCAGAAACTCTCGATTCACTTGCAGACTCCTATTCAAGTCTGGCGAGACATCTGGGAGTTACAGAATACACTTTGACCAACCTCGAGACCTATTCAAAAGGGAAACCAAGAGAAAAGATCCAGTATCTAAAGCGAGTAATTTACCCAAAGACGAAACAATTTTCTGAGTGGCTAATTATTGTGGATAATGTTGTTGACCTCTCTTTAATTCGTAATGATCTGCCTCCTACCGGAAGTGAAGAATGGGGAAAAGGTCAGGTGCTAATAACTACTCAAGATAGCAGCTCAATACCCGTCAATGCTCCACTTACTTACCATGAGTCTCTCAGCAAAGGAATGCATCCAGATGACGCGATAAACCTGTTACAACAGGTATCCCAAATCCAGAATCAAGAACAGGCTGAAAAGGTCGCTGAGGTTCTTGAGTATCAGCCACTCGCTCTTGCAGCTGCTGCCTTTTATGTGCAAACCGTTGTGGTCAACGGCTCTCCGAACTACAGCTGGACAAACTACATGGAAACACTTTGCCGTGGCGAACGCGAAACAACCGAAGAATTTCTTGCAAACCAGAACATGGCGTATTCCAAGACAACGACTACTGCCATTAAAATGGCAGTTACCAGAGCTTCAGAAAGTGATGAAGTTTTGCAACAAGTATTTTGTTTGTTTTCGCTATGCGCTTCTGAGTCTCTTCCATTAGACGTGGCTGTTGACTTCGTTAAATTACGTGGTACGGAGAAAAAACAAGAATTGATCAAAACTAAATTGTTAAAATCCTCCTTATTATCTTGCTTGCGTGACAATGACAATTCATGTACCGCTTTTCTAAGGATGCACAACATTGTTCACGAAGTGCTTAAGTCAGTCATACCATCTAAAATCGATTTAAAAGATAGACTTCACAGCATTTCTGTTATGATTGATATCTTTTATTCTTTTTTGGAAAACAACAAGAATCTGTTGCGTTCAAGTAGGCATGTTTTTGCTAAGTTACGTAGAATTACGAATCATTGTAAAGCATTACGTGAAATTCTTAACAGTGTTCAGTTGAGGAATTCGGAAAAAATGTTTAATGCAATCACCCCTTGCAAATTAGTTTCGTGGCTCTCTTTAACTGCCGAGGTCTGCTTGGATCTTGGTAATCCATCTGCCGGATATGTCTTTGGTGAGTCAGGCTGCAACTTCCTACATTTTCTAGATGATTCGCAAAACGATAAATCAATAATGGCGTGCACCTACAATATACTAGGAAAAGCTTACAGTCACCTTGATCAGTACAGTCAAGCTAAAGAATACACTGAGAGGGCTCTTGCCATCAGAATAGAGATTTACGGAGAACGCCACGGTGACGTAGCCACAAGCTACAATAATCTAGGAAATGTTTACAGTCATCTTGGCCACTACACTGAAGCTAAATCACACTACGAGAAAGCTCTTAAGCTAAGAAAAGAGATTTATGGTGAACACCACGCTGTGGTAGCAACAAGCTACAACAATCTGGGACATGTTTACAGAAACCTTAGCCAGTACGCTGAAGCTAAAGTATACTATAAGAAGGCTCTAACTATGAGAAAAGAGATTTACGGTGAACACCACGGTGACGTAGCAACAAGCTACAACGACCTTGGAAATGTTCACAGAAATCTTGGCCAGTACACTCAAGCTGAAGAGTACCATGAGAAGGCTCTTGCGATGAGAAAAGAGATTTACGGTGAGCACCATTGTGACGTGGCTTCAAGCTACAATAACCTGGGAGTTGTTTACCGAAACCTTGGCCAGTACAGTCAAGCTAAAAAATTTCACGAAAAGGCTCAAACCATAGCAAAAGAAGTATACGGGGAACGCCATGGTGACGTAGCAGCAGGCTACAACAACCTGGGAAACGTTTACAGAGACCTTGGCCAGTACAGTCAGGCAAAAACACACTACGAAAAAGCTCTAACCATGAGAAAAGAGATTAACGGTGAACAACATGGTCTGGTAGCAGCAACCGTCGACAACCTGGGTATTGTTTTCAGGGATCTTGGCCAGTACAGTCAAGCTAAAGAATACCATGAGAGGGCTCTTACCATCAGGAAAAAGATTTACGGTGAACTCCACGCTAACGTAGCAGCAAGCTACAACAATCTGGGAATTGTTTGCAGTTACCTTGGCCAGTTCAGACAAGCTAAAGAATACTATGAGAAGGATCTAGCCATTAGCAAGGAGATTTACGGCGGTGAACACCATGGTGATGTAGCGACAAGCTACAACAACCTGGGTACTGCGTATAGTGACCTTAGCCAGTACAGTGAAGCTAAAGAATACTATGAGAAGGCTCTAACTATTAGGAAGGATATTTACGGTGAACATCATGCCAACGTTGCAACAAGTTACAACAACCTGGGAACTGTTTACAGTTACCTGGGCCAGTACTGTCAAGCAAAGGAGAACCATGAGAAGGCTCTTACCATAAGGAAAAGGATTTACGGCGAGAACCACAACGTGGTAGCGAACAGTTATGCAAATCTTGGCTGTGTTTACAGTGACCTTAAGCAGTACGATGCAGCTATAGAATCTTTTCAAAAGGCTTTGCAAATATATAAAGCGGTTTACGGCGAACAACACGCTGACGTGGAGAGAATTTGTCGAAACTTAAGAATTGTTGAAAGGGAACAAAGAGACCATAGCAAAGTTGAGATCAAATGATGTATTGTCCAAGAAAAACGAGGATAACAGCATTACTAGCGATTCCACATTGGAAGTAAAACGCTACCCAGATGGAAAAGTTTAACTACTGTTGAAACTCTCCATAACGGCCACCTTGGGAACAGGAGAAAGTTGTAGAGAAGTTTACGCAAGAGTCAATGTATGAACTGCCCGCCCATAAACACTGGCCTTTGTGGAGAGGTGGCCGTTTATATTAGGGAGCAGGTTATATTAGGTCTCCTTTTTTACAATGCGCTTGACTTACGTAGATATTGCAGTGAAAGACCTTGAAAAAACAAACCTAACAGGCATGTTGTACGGGTTAGTGGAACTTATCTCAAAACGTAGAACTCACTGAGATCATAAAGAGACTGAATCTGACTCTGCTTTCCTTTGAAATTCGCTGTGAAAAAGCTAAAATATTGCAATCAAAGATTAAATCCAGAAATTGCTCATGTAAAGTGCTACAACCTTTAGCTCGTTGATGCGTCGATGAAATAAAAGAGGAAATGAAATTATTTTGCTTTTGACTGCCTTAGCGTAAATTGGTGTTTTGAAGCTGAAGATTTTGTTTCGGTCAGGCGACCCTCGCTCTTAACAGCGTAGTGTAGTGTTCATTGATTAAAGCATTCTCTTAAAAGTTAGTAATACTCATGAAATTTTTCCCGAAATGCTTAGCAATTATTGAATAAGACTTAGAATGTAAAAAACTATGCTGATCGAGGAGGCCGTCAATCTGTAAATGGAACTGATTTTTACTAAATGGTAAACTTGATTCCTAGAGGAAACTTATCAGTCCTGAATTTTGCGTACCATTTGCCCAAACCGTGGACCGACCTGTTTGCCAATGTAAATGGTAAACAACCAATGTAATATGTTTGACCGCACCAGGAACCTACGGTTGTTAGACCCAGACACTTCCGCTGTTTCGACTGGATGCCAGGCAGGGCTCTCTAACTGGAATTTGAGAAGAGACGCAGTACTCTTCTTTGCCTGACTGAGATAACTTTTATATATCACTTTGGGCAGTGGGAGAATCTGAAATCTATCGGTATTATTACAACGGTATCCATTCGACCACCTTGTTTTTACGTTCGTTTATTTTGTTATGTTCACACTATAACGGCCTGGATAGCTTTCGCGCCGGCATGAAAATTATATGGGATAGGGCTTCTTTTCACAGATAAGAACGGTGACTTTGGCGCGATTTCTGTAACGGAACAAAGCTAAACCGGATGGCACTTTTGGTGTCGGCACAAAAAGTTACCCAGTATTCTTGGTTTGTAACCACGTGGCCATGTTGGGGCTCAATATTCTCAAAACAATAGAGTTTTTCTCGAAGAATTTACCTTATTTATTCGAATAAGCGCCCAACCTCGAATTAGCGCCCACCTCGAATAAGCGCCCATCCTAAAGGCAGGAAAAGTTAATAAGCGCCCAGCCTCGAAAAAGGGCCCACCCCACCCTCACCCCGTTGCCCTCCCAATCAAACTCAAATAAGTGCCCATCCCCACCCCACCCACTTGAGTGACAATTAGATTGAAATCGAAATTGAATAGGTACTAATAAGAGACTTCTCCGAAGACGGAGTTTTCTTCAGAGTCTTTTACAGAAACCTTGCTTTGTTACTTCTTTGCGTTTAGTTAATAGCATTTACTTTTTTGTTGCAAAATAAACATACTAAACTTGCTGAAAAAGGTGAAAATTTAATAAGCGCCCAGCCTGGAATAAGCGCTCACTCTCAAGGTCCAAAAATTTGATATGCGCCCAGGGCGGTTAATCGAATAAATATGGTACATGAAAATATAGTTTAGTTCCCAGAGGAGTACCCTGGGTACCATAGGTTTTTTCTTGCGCGCGACGGGGATCTTCGATTGGTCGGCCGAAGGCCGAAGACACGAGAGAGAAATGCTCTTGCTTTTGACCACCGACATGGCCGCCGTGACGTCACGTGCAAACCAACAATATTGTGAACCGGTACCCTTAATAAACCCTTAATGCGGGCAACGTCGTGAATTTCCAGTGACATTGTATGTAATCAGTCAGTAAACATTTTAGTTTTTTTTTTTTTTTTCATTTTTTAGTGATATGGAAAATATGTGGCATCGTAAGTGTTTTATCCATATAGCGCATTCAGTTGGTCTAAAAATATTTATAATACTTTAACTTGGTTAACTTGTTGGACCTCGTCACGGGTTGCTATCATAACTAAACAAGTATTATACATCGACAGCGATGGCCAAGAGAACCGAACAAGCCTTGCGAGCAATCAGAGAAATGAACAGAAAGTGAAACCTCTCTTGTATTTGTGTCTACTAAAACGGCGCTAGAGCAAGAAAAGACTGTTTCCGTCTGGCAAATATCTAAATAATTTGTTTTGTTGGTCCTTCAGAGACAAACTCTAAAACTTTTAAAATAGTATTTCAATTTTCGGTGAACGCATATTGGTTGAGAGCAATTAAAGCATGATGAAACTCTAGTGTTGCAATATCCAGTTATTAGGTTTTAAATAAAACAGGAGAGACAATGATCATGAAATACCGCAATGATGGTGCAAGTTTTTGTCTCTCCTTATTTCACGCATAATTTTTAGAGAACCTGTGCCGGGATTAGGTGTTTAAACAAAATTATCAAACAGTTTGCAGTCTACTTGAGGTTTGGACATTTTCTGTCGTTTACATCCTCGTTTTTTCAGTGATGCACATGGAGCGAGGACGATCGTAAATTGTGGTCAATTTGTTAATTCATGTGTGTCTAGCAAAATTCATGGCTTCCTAAACTCTTCGTTTCAGTCATCGGTCTCTACGGAATATCCAATTTAAAAGAATGACTAAGACATGGACAATTTTTTCTTGTCTATCTACACTACACTCCTTCCATTTTACTTCTTTTCTCTTGATTTTAAAGACGTTTTGAAATGGTTGTTCTCTCTTAATTTTACACTACGCGCGGCTGTGTTCAGAACTGGTGATGAAATATTCCCCGTTTATTTTTTAACCTGTTCGGACGCTGACAAAATTACCCACTCATCGACCAATATCCAAGTTCATCAATAAATCTCAACTTGACTGAAAGCAACACTGAAAGAACATTCTTCACTTGGACCGCACATACCAATATACATAATCGCTCAAATAAGGAAGGGACCATTTGACTTGAGGTAGCTGCGCATTGCATTTGACTCTCATTTTCCTAAAACTTCCGCTATTGTACACAACCTTCAGAGATCGCGTCGCTGTTAATTTGTAGCGGCTGGGAGTCGGGAACACTGAGACCGCTGAGCGATTAGCTACTACTGAATAACAAAACGTAAGTACCTTCGATTTGTGCATAGTTACTAACTATGATTTCCCACGAGTAGCCTAGGCCTGCCAAGAGGTTTAGTTCATCCGGGGGGTACTCCCTTATTTGGCCTTAAAGAGTATGTCCTGCTGACCCGGGCATGGTTTTCGGGGTCTTGCATAAGGTGAACAATTTCACTATTTAGCGTCTTCAACAAGATCATCTTTTTGGCCGGAAGCCTTTAAAAGACGGCCTAATGTTAGCGATGAACCGTCCACCTGCGCGATACCAACATTATCATTATTATTATTTTTAAATCCAATCATGTCCATGATACTAGTTTTAAAAAAACTTTATTCGATATGAGAAAAGAAATGAAAGTAGGGTAGCGAAGAGACGATTTTTATCTTAAATAGGGGCAGGGTTTGAAAGCTTCAGCGGCACACTTCTACCCTAACTTCCCTTAAGTATCCCCCCCTCCCGGAGTTGATCAAATATCACTAAATGTCCGGAAGGCATCGAACGTTTTAGCACTATCTTTTCAGTTTTCTGCTGCTTGAAATGATTAATATCACATGTACAAAGCTTGGGTCAGGATCTCTGGAGATTCCTGAATTCAGCTATCAAATACCGTCTTGAGTCTCCTTTGTCTGTGATAAACAAATTCTTCTTTGTTCGCAGGGAAGTGCATTTCTCATGATCACGATAGAAAAACACGGGCAACATCACTCACCATAAAGTTCAAAATTAATTAGTAGCAGAATCCTAGATATACAAAACTTTTTATTGGCTTCATTATCTATTATTGATAAACTAAAAGGCAGTGCACGAGTTTTAATTGCTACGATGAGGATGTGTGGAAGAACAATTTCCACACTTTGACGTACTCAGGGCTTAACCATACTCTGATATATTTGTCCAAGTTTATTTGATATCCTAATGAAATGCAAAATTTTTCTATGTTTGAGTTATTTAGGAAAATGTTAAACGAGCAGACGACAATAATTACACAGGATCTCCTCTCAATTCTTGGCTTACAACCACGTGAAAAAGACGGCCATGTTGGGGGTCAATAAAATAGAATTTTTTTCTCGAAGAATTTACATGAAAATAGAATTTAGTTCCCAGAGGAGAGAAATGCTTTTTTTCTTGACCACCAACATGGCCGCCGTGACGTCACGTGCAAATAATCAATTATTTGCTATCCCACAATGGAGCTGTGCTGATTATAACATTCCCGTGTGGAGTTCAACAGAGCATGGTAGCAGCCGTGTCTCGCGGTTTCGTTCCTTTTAGATGTGAAATCATCAATATAGCATAGCAGGAACTTTCCACCATTACAAAAAAAATATGTCTACTCTTGCATTAAGGCAGGAAAAAAAAACGCAACTTTTAGAAAGGCCCTCTGCTTCAAGTCGCGCACCCCAAGACTGCTTTGTCTCTAGAATTTCTGGCACTTTAACAATATGTCTACTCTTGCATTAAACTTGGCGTAATTCGACTGAAAACATGAAGCTTGATCAAAACTTGTGTACTTCTTCTACCATGTATCAAGAAAAGCGCTTGTCAAAGTGAGAGCAAAGAGCTAAAGCTTAGAATACTTTAATATAATCAATGATAGTTTTTCGGGTCAAAACTTTTCGCAACTGTATGTCACAATTCTAAACAGGAAGTTTTTAAATAATGATAATATTAATATCATCATTTCTAGTATTGTAGAAAATTCTACATTTGAGACGAAAACAACATGAACGTGAGCAACATTTCTATAATTTTGAGTCTCTAGTTACAGCCAGTGCATACCACATATTCAGTTTTAGTATAAACACACTCAGTGATCTTGGTGATTTAAACAATCTGATTGGTTCGCTATCTCGGACTATTCAACAATATTCACCTCCTAACGAGTGGATAATGTGTGAGCTCGGTGTTTTTCCCAATCTTTTAGGGAACGATCTATTAAAAGTTGACAAAATCCTAGGGCTGACTTTTTTTTTAAGGCAAGAAAAGGCTTCGAAGGATTCAAAACGGCGTTTTTCCATCCAATCTCGGTGAATATTGGCTTTAGGAATATTTACCTTGCCGCTTCGCGACTCGGAAAATTATAGCCACTTTTCACGTTGATTTCAAAGAATAATTGTTAGTTATACCAAACTGCCCCAAATCTGACAGCCAACAAAACTCGCTGGACAAAACTCTTCTGGATTGATGTTCTGCTACATTAGAAATTACAGAAATTAAGTGTTGGGATCATCTTTAATTCCACCAACTTGAATGTTTTGCTTTCAATGGAAAATAACGTGTATTTAGAAGTTGCAAAAAAAGGTGCAAGAATGCAAGTGTCCAGAAATTCACTTGGGGCGCCACAATTCTCTTCTCTGACATAAATTAATTTCTTGGGTGGAAATCTTGTTTTTTATCCTTATTTATATTACTACTTCATGTTAATTTGTCATGAATTTAAAAAAGAGGATTAAAACAATTCCACATTCAGACAAAACAAAGACATTTTCGTTATACTCCAAATTCATAGCAAAGGTAAGCGATTTCATCTTTGATCATGAAACACCGTACTAGAAGGCATTAGGGAGTTTAAACATTAACGTGGCGACGGATACAAAAACGTTACTTAAAAGGTGGAATTGTGCTGCCTAAAACTTTATTGCGCTTATTCCATCTTGTTTAATTCGTTGGCAAACTTTCTTGGAGTTGAATTCTAAAGGACTGTATCCAAGTTCAGGAAAAGAACAAGAAAGTTGTTGTCTTGTGTTCCCGTCCTCGACAAAACGCGAAATTAGGGACTTTCACGTTTTAGGACTCGTGCAACGACGGCAAAGAAATGTACAAAAAAGAGTGATGCACGTGCAAAGTTATTGTTTTGTTTTAAAAACCTATTGCTTTTTTGCCGTTCCCGTTCCCGTTGCCGACGCCGTCGTCGATGCTGATGGAGGAGGGACAGGGGGGCGGGAGCCCGAGAGAATTGGAGGCGGGAGGGGTTACGGGAGGCGGGAGAAGAAATAGATGAGAAATGGAAGGGAATTGCGCAACAATGCTTAATATTTAGCAATCAAGAAAGGTCTAAAAGGAGGACGCCAAAAAGAAAGGGATCGGGTAAGGGATGCTGGAGGGGGAAGGTTTGGACCACCCTCCCCCCCACAATCGATAACTTGATAACAATGATAACTTGCTTGACAGTACCTCAGTGTGTGTCCCGTTTTCTTTATTCTCTATAAAAAGAATAGTACCTAAAGCTCAACTTAACACCCACTTTTTCCTCTGAATATTTTCTATAGGCCTCGGGTAAAAAATGGAATACAGTTTGGAGCAATTGAACTATTTTAGAGCCTCGTACATCGCCTTCAACTTAATTCCTGAAGGGCTTCGAACAGTCTTCAAACAAGAGTGGGATTTCTTTTACAAGGCAACAGCGTTTGGAGAATGGAAGGACACCCCTAAAAATGGCCTCGATTTCTACAACAAGGAATCACGAATTAACCACAAAAGATATGGGCGACTTTTAGCGATAATACAAAGTGGAAACACGGCAGAGTGGGACTGCACTTGTCTATTTTTCGCAATATTATACTCGGATACTATTGGCAAAACACTGAGTCCGGGAATAATGAAAGAAGTTGACGATCTTCGGGAAGTTCGAAACGCAATCGCTCACAAAAACGACGCTGAACTTATTGATGCTGAATTCCAAAATTATGTTGCAAGAGTGTTAGCTGCTTTCACATCATTGAAACTTCCAATTAATGAAGTTGATGATATAAAAAACCAGACCGACTTTCCCACAGCCGAACTCAATGCTCTGAAACTACAGGCAGATAGCCTACGAGATGACTTACAAACGAAAGAGCAAGAAGCCAAAAATCTGACCTCAGAATTACAGACGAAGAAGGAAGAAGTTGAGACCCTAACTCAGGAAATCAGTTCCAAAGTTCAGTCTTTTGTTGACCTTACATTCAAGCCATCACATCCGATCATCAGACGATCAAACGATGTCACAAGAATCATGAAAAAACTGGACGAACTACAAAATGAAAGCAAAGGAGCCATCAGCACCGTTTATTTATCAGGGATTCCGGGCTGTGGCAAAAGTCAAATCGCTCGTCAACTGGGACAAGAAGTCTATGAGAAGAAGTTGCGTGAAAGCAAAGACCTGACATTTGTGGCAACTCTTAATGCAGAAAGCCTTGATTCACTTGCAGACTCCTATTCTAGACTGGCCAAAAAGGTGGGAATCACAGAATACACTTTGACCAGCCTGGAGAATTCTACAAAGGGAAATCCAAAGGAACAAGTCCAGTGCCTTAAGCGATTAATTTGTCCAAAGGCGAAAAAATTCCCTAACTGGCTGATAATTGTAGATAATGTTGCTGACCTTTCCATGGTACGTAAGGATCTGCCTCCTACCGGAAGTGAAGAATGGGGTCATGGCCAGGTGCTGATAACTACTCAGGATAGCAGTTCGATACCGTCCAATGCTCCTCTAACTTGCCATGAGTCTCTCAGCAGAGGAATGCATCCCGATGACGCAGTAAGCCTGTTACAACAGGTATCTCAGATTCAGAATCAAGAACAGGCTGAAAAGGTCGCTGAGGTTCTTGAGTATCAGCCACTCGCTCTCGCAGCCGCTGCCTTTTATGTGCAAACCGTTAGGGACAATGGTTCTCCAAACTACAGTTGGACAAACTACTTGGAAAGACTTTCCCACGGGGGACGCGAAGCAACAGAAAAAGTTCTTGCAAACGAGAACACAGCGTATTCCAAGACAACAACTTCTGCCGTCAGAATGGCAATTACCAGTGCTTTAGAAAGTGATGCAGTTCTTCGGCAGGTATTTTGTTTGTTTTCGCTTTGCGCACCTGAGTCTCTTCCAATGGAAATTGCTGTTGACTTTGTTAAGTTGCGTGGTACCCTGAAAATAGACGAACTGATTAGAGCAAAATGTTTTAAATCCTCTTTATTTTCCTGCTTGTGTGACGAAGAAGGCACAGGTACTTTTATAAGGATGCATAACATTGTTCATGAAGTGCTTAAGTCAATTATGACATTTGAAATGGATAGACTTCAGTGTATTTCTGTTGCTATTGAGAGTTTTCATTCCTACATGGAAACCAACAAAAATTTAATGCGTTCAAGTAGGCGTGTGTTTGCTAAGTTGCGCATGACAGCGAGTCATTGTAACGTATTACATGAGATTCTAAGTAGTTGTTTCGCTCGGAGTAATTGGGAAATAATTCTAAGAGCAATTACCCCAGCTAAGTTAATTTCGTGGCTGTCCTTAGCTGCTGATGTTTGCTGTGATCTTGGTAATCCATCACAGGCATATGCCTTTAGTTCATCAGGATGTAATTTTGTAAATTTTCTAAATGATTCACCAAAAGACCAGTTATTAACAGCTTGCACCTACAGTACACAGGGGAATGTTTACAGAAACCTCGGCCAGTACAGAAAAGCTAAAGAATACCATGAGAAGGCCCTTACCATCAGAAACAATATTTACGATGAACACCATGGTGAAGTCGCAGCAAGTCTTAACAACCTGGGAACTGTTCACCGGATCCTTGGCCAGTACATTCAAGCTAAAGAGTACTATGAAAAGGCTCTCAAGATAAGAAAAGAGATTTTCGGGGAGAACCATGGTGACGTAGCAGCAAGCTACAACAATCTGGGATGTGTTTGCGACCAGCTTGATCAGTACAGCCAAGCTACAAAATATTATGAGAAGGCTCTCGCCATAAGAAAAGAGATGTATGGAGAAACACATGTTGACGTGGCAGCAAGTTACTTCAATCTAGGTCGTGTTCACACAGACCTTGGCCAGTACAGTCAAGCTAAAGATTACCATGACAAGGCTCTAAGCATCAGACAAGAGATTTGCGGTAAGCTCCATGCTGACGTAGCAGCGAGCTACAATAGCCTGGGAATTGTTTACAGTAACCTTTGCCAGTACCATGACGCTAAGGAGTACTACGAGATGGCTCTGATCATTAGAAAAGAGATTTATGGTGAGCACCATAGTGATGTAGCAGAAAGCTACAACAACCTTGCAACTCTTAACAGTGAACTTGGCCAAACCTGGCAAGCTAAAAAATACCATGAGAAGGCCTTAACTTTAAACAAAAAGATTTACGGTGAACACCATGGTTACGTTGCGGCGGGCTACTACAACCTTGGAATTGTTTACAGTGATCTTTGCCAGTACGGTGACGCTAAAGAATACTATGAGAAGTCTCTGACGATTAAAAAAGAGATTTACGGCGAATATCATGGTGACGTGGCAGCAAACTACAACAGCCTGGGAAATGCGAACCTTTGTCTTTGCCAGTACAGAGAAGCCAAAATCTGCTTTGAGAGGGCTCTGGTCATTACAAGAAAGATTTACGGCGGGCGGAACGGGCCGGAAGTGGCAAGAAGCTACGATAACCTGGGAAGTGTTTACAAAAATATTTGCCAGTACAGTGAGGCTAAAGAATACCATGAAAAGTCTCTTATCATAAGAAAAGAGATTTACGGTGAACACCATGGTGATGTAGCAGCAAGCTACAACAATCTTGGAATTGTTTGCAGTGACCTTGGCCAGTATAGTCAAGCTAACGATTACCATGAGAAGGCTCTAACCATTAAAAAAAAGATTTACGGTGAACACCATGGAGACGTAGCAATAAGCTACAACAATCTGGGAATTGTTTACAAAGAACTTGGCCAGTACAGTCTAGCTAAAGAAAACTACGAGAAGGCCCTATCCATCAGAAGAGAGATCTACGGTGAACACCATGGTCACGTAGCGCAAAGCCACAACAACCTGGGGGATGTATACATTGCGCTCAGTGAGTACGACCAAGCTAAAGAACATCTTGAAAAGGGTCTGGCCACGAGAAAAAAGATTTACGGTGAACACCATGGTGACGTAGCAAAAAGCTACTACAACCTTGGAAGGTTATACAGTGACCTTGGAAAGTGCAGTGAAGCCAAAGAACACTTTGAGAAAACTCTAACTTTGTGTAGAGAAATTTACGGTGAACACCACGGCGAAGTAGCCACAATCTACAGCAGCCTGGGAGATGTTTACATTAAGCTTAGCCAGTTCAATGAAGCGAAACAACACCTAGAGATAAGTCTCAAAATAAGAAAAGAGATTTATGGTGAACATCAAAAAAATCATAAAAAAGTGGCATCAAGCTACTTCAGCCTAGGAAGGGTTTACAGTAAGCTTGGTCAGTACAGTCAAGCTAAAGAATACTATGAGAAGGCTTTGACCATTAACAAAGAGATTTTCGGTGAACACCATGAAGACGTAGCACAAATCAAAAACAACCTGGGAAATGCTTACATAGAACTTGGCCAGTACACTCTGGCTAAAGAGCATCTTGAGAAAGCTCTCACAATTAGAAAAGAGATTTTTGGTGAACACCATGATTACGTGGCACAAATCAAAAACAACCTGGGAAATGCTTACAGAAAACTTGGCCAGTACACTCTGGCTAAAGAGCATCTTGAGAAAGCTCTCACAATTAGAAAAGAGATTTACGGTGAACACCATGATGACGTAGCAGAAAGCTACTTGAACCTGGGAAATGTTTACAGTGGCCTTGGCCAATACAGTGACGCTAAGGAGCTCTATGAAAAGGCTCTAGCTATTGTAGAAACGAGTTTCGGTGAACACCATGGTCTGAGCTTGGCAGCATGCTACAATAACCTGGGGAACGTTTACAAAAACTTTGGCCAGTACAGTCAAGCTAAAGATCACTATGAGAGGGCTCTAGCCATTGATAGAAAGATTCATGGTGAATACCATGGTAACGTACAAGCAAGCTACAGAAACCTGGGAAATATTTGCAGTAACCTTGGCCAGTACAGTCAAGCTAAAGAATACAGTGAGAAGGCTTTAACCATTGGAAAAGAGATTTATGGTGAAAACCACGGTTTCGTTGCAGCAAGTTACAACAATCTGGGAAAAGCTTGCAGTGACCTTGGCCAGTACAATCAATCTAGAGAATACCATGAGAAGGCTCTGTCCATTAACAAAGAGATCTACGGCGAATACCATGGTGACGTGACACTTAGTTACAATAACCTAGGGGTGGTTTATAGCCACCTTAGGCAGTATAGTAAAGCAAAGGAGAACCACGAGAAGGCTCTAACTATTACAAAAGAGATTTACGGTGAGAAGCACAATTTTGTTGCCCAAAGTTATTCAAATCTCGGCTGTACTTACAGTGACCTAAACCAGTATCATCTAGCTAACGAATGTTTCCAAAAGGCTTTGAACATATATAAAACAGTTTACGGCGAACAACATGCTGAAGTGGAAAGAACGTATCAGAACTTAAGAATCGTTAAAATGCGACAAGTAGAAGAAGTTCTCAGACCATACAACATCTGTTGCCAGGAGCATTATTATTATAATTTGAACCTCGGCTGGCAATTTTATCCGACGATCTAAAGATTATATCAGTGATTTATCTCATAGAAACTCATCTGAATTACGTTTAGTGTTCAGGTAATTCAGTTAAAGGGGCCATGTCATGCTATTTTCCATATTTTTTATAAAGCTAAAACGTGTCTTTCCGTTAATTGTATTCCGAAAATAATGGCCCAGATTTGTTTTTTAAGACTTAAATTAGGCATGGAAACCGTTTCCTGTCGTCTATAGATGGTTTTCACAGTGACGTCATCAAATTGTAAAGTCAAAATAGCGAGGTTTTACGAATTCTCATTTACACTAGGTTAAAGATAAACAAAAAATCTCTGAACAAGTTTCCATTCCCGTAGCATGTTTCATTTGGAAAATACAGCAATTTGAACTTCCAAGTTTTCACTGTGCGTGACACCAAAATAGGAATGCTGTCTCGTTGAAAAAAAGTCTCTCCTCTTGATTTTCAGCAGCATAACCATTTCAACTATTAGAAAATTTATGTTTATGCGCACGTATGCTAGTTCTCGAGTGAAAAGAAAAAGAGCTTTTATACAAAAACCAGGAAAAAGGGAATGAACTCCAGATGTTTTTGTTGATTTCCGGCGGCAATATTGGTGCACCAAAACGAATAAATATCAAACCAGAAATTTCTCTCTTCAAACTGTAAATTATAAATGATCCTGAGAGAATATTCAGTGTGTTAAGGATTTCCCTGCTGTACTGTTAGCTCCATACAAGAGAGGAAGGGCGATTCTTTTTTAATTTCCGTTTCGCTGACACAGCTTTAGCAGAAATCTCTCTTTAGTCGTTTTCGTCGACAAAACAAATAGCAATATCGCTCTCCGCGTCTTCTGCCATTTTTTTCTGCGTCAATTCGTGAAGGACGCGTGGCTCTGAGCTTGGGTCATCCACCCGGAACACATTCGCGCTATGTGATTGGCCGTTGTCTAACCCCCCTTGGGATCTATGGCCTTAAAAATAACTCGAGACGAATTACCTATGGAATAGGGTGTGTATGGGGGATGCCTTCTCTGTCCCCTTTATCCTCTCTTGGTGACAGTGAAAACCATCTATTGCCACGGATGGCAGGAATGGACACGGATTGAAGCTGGAAAAAGTTGGGCTAACTTTTTCAAGTTGAAATGCTATGCCCACGAAAATCTCCAAAAATGTATTATGGTTAGTGCTCCCTGATGAAATCTGTTGGATATCTTCTCCATAACTATAAGCGAGAATTTTGTATGTGGGTAAAAGCACTACAATATTAATGACTTTAGCACAGAATTCACCCTAAAGGAGCGATATCTTCGTGACATAGCCTCTTTAAAGGACCAATTGTAACATCGCTTTCACTGGCGGATCCAGGGGAGGGGTATGGGGGTCCGGTCGCCCCCTTATTTTTAGACCAAGATGAGACCCGAAGGGCCGAAAAAAAAAACGTTTTGGAGACCGCCCCCCCCAACCCCAATCTTATCTCAGGGTCTGGATAACCGCCCCCCCCCTTATCTGAAGGTCTGTAAGCGCCACTGGGTTTACCTATTTACGGGAGGAGTGGTCACTAAACTGAGTGAGATATAGACGGTGGCGGATCCAGGGGAAGGGCCCGGGGGGCCAGGACCCCCCCCTTCATTTGTCTGGATGACCGTTTCCCCCTCATCTCAAGGTCTGGATCCGGCACTAATAGAAATATTTGTTCAAATCACTCCTTGAACATGGAAATAACACTGATGCAAACAAAGACGAATTGTCAAAACTGAACTACAATCAGGATTGTAAATAACTGGGTCAGCCGAACTGTGGATACAACTGTCATCGACTGGCCAAAAATTCGGTTAGGGATCAGGGCCTAGTTGTTCAAAGCTGGGTTAAGATAACCCAGGGTTAGTGCAAGATTTGAATTGGGATTTGAAAGCTCAAAAAGCATTTCAGTTTTAATTCTTTTTGTCTACAAGTTGATGATTGAAAGCTCTAAAACTAACAGAGAAAATTGTCCGAGAAAATGTTTTGGAACATAAGGAAAAGAAACGCAGGTTAAATTTAACCACGGGTTAAGGGCCAAGGTTTAGTACGCCCTGTGCGTTGTGGGTACCCTGTGAGCCGTTTTGCGGCACCCTTGTCGTTGTTGGAAATTTAACGAATTAAATATACATAGACTTCATCAGAGGATGCAGTTGTGTGCTTTTCTTTTATCTCACATTAGTTTACGTTGCTTCTTTTGTCGACATATAAACATGCATTCAGAGTAACAAGTGAATCTCAATTTGAATCACATTTCTCTACCATGCTAACTAAAGCGTGGCCCGGAACCTAAGAGACATTTTCATCTGGTATGTGTTGTTATTTCATTTTTGATCACGTGACAGTACTCTAGAGAACTGTTTCTTTCAAATATCGTCTTGTCCGCGTGCATAAATTACTTCAAAACAAAAGGCAAACTCCCTTGAGAACATCACGTGGTCAGAAATGGATACAAGGCAAACTCAAGACAGCTTAAAGGTGATGTTACGCGGAACAATTCGCAATGACGATTTTCAGCGCAACCCAGCGTTGCAATGTTGGAACAATATTGTAACTATTGAAAACAATGTCGCAACAATGTTGCAACGCTGTGTTGCGCTAAAAATCGTTGTTGCGGATCATCTCGTATAACATCACTTTCAAGTTGGCAACAATAGAAAAATTTTGTGTTCCCTTTAGAGGAATCCTTGCTGACTGCTTTGTATACATTGCTGCTCATTAGCTTGCCACGTAACCCACAGAAGACGTTGCTGTAAATACAAATTTGGCTGAAAGTTGAAAAACCTGGTTTATTGGAGCAGTTTGCGCCAGTTGCAGCTCTTTGCATTCAATAAGGAGGGAAATAGCACCAATCAAAAACTGCAAAATTGCTGGGTGGCAAAACATGAATGAGCCCATACATTGGGCCCTTTGCACTAAGAGGTCATGTGACATCGTTTTTATGAAAATGAAAGTTATATGATTTTGCCTTCAAAAAACGATTAGGGGGTCATATCTTAAACAAAATAATAGTTATTTGGTTTTTAAAACCCGCACCATTTTCTTAAAATGAGTAAGTTCGTAGCTGGTCAAGTGACCAAGATGTGATTTTTAAAACTTATGAATTACCTCTTTCTGAACACAAATTTTGCACTTAAACTTCAAGGAAAATGTTGAAAAGGTGATGTGGTAGCGTTTACAGCACATCTAAGCGTAACTAATACACGTTTAACAAGATATAAGCAAAAAGTAATGTTGGCCGACATGTTGGAGGGCAAGAGTATGCCCTCCAACATGGCGGCCAATACAAATCATACTACTTTGTTGAAAAATCAAAGTGCCATAAAATAACTCTCTTAAATGAGTTTCCTCTCAAATTTCGGGGGTAAGATTATTTTTGAGCTCTGTCAATTTTTGGCATCAGCAAGATTCCAACTCATTCTTTGAAAGAGGTATTGGTCACGTGACCTCTTAGTGCAAGTGGCCTATATCGGGCTCAAGTGTTCAGAGATAACTGGAACTGTTATGCTCTTTCACTAGTCAGAGATTTTACTTCATTAGCATCATCAGGTAATAGTAAGCATATACTAATGAGGCAAAAAGTGTGAGACGCTCTGGCTAATCTCGTACCCAGATCTCACTCTATTTTACACTGAAAAGTCCCTTTCACTTGGCCGTGGGAGATCTGGGTACGAGATTACGCTGGCCTGTTATTTTGCTTCGTCTTCCACTCGTCCCCCCGAGCGATGAGTAGGACAGGATCCTGGAAACAACAATGTACGATGCGGAAGAGGGGCACTGCAGGGCCCGCTCTGAACCCTACAAGATTCAAGTGCTCTTTCAACTTCTTATTAATTGCCAACGAGCAGCCTAATAAAGCCGTGCGCGAAAGTTCCAAGGCAGAATGAACCTCGAAGCGATGTAACATAAGGTAGTGTAAGGTAACTTTTATGACGTAATGCAGAACAGAGAATCCACGAGCCGTGTGCGTGTTTTTGAGTCCCGTGCTCATCCCGTCTTCAACCAATCGTCGGGTGGATTCATTTGCAATATACGCCTATTGGTATTCTTGGTTTGCAACCACATGACAAGACGGCCATGTTGGGGGTCAATACAACAGTCTCGAATTAGCGCCCACCTCGAATAAGCGCCAATCCTAAAGGCAGGAAAAGTTAATAAGCGCCCAGCCTCGAAAAAGGGCCCACCCTACCCTCACCCCCTCCTCCTCTCAATCAAACTCAAATAAGCGCCCACCCCTCCACCCA